GAGATCATCTTTCTAGCGATTTGAGCGAAGAACATAAAAACCATACTCGGACAATAATTATAAAGATCATAGTCACAAACATGGGCAGCACAAGCGTAAACCAACATGAAGCAAACACAAACACAAAACAAATAGTAAAAACATGTATATGAAAGAATAAATTGATAAAGAAGTAAAGAGGAAAATGCATTTTTGGTGTTAGTGGGAAGTAGAGGAGAGGACAACGAAATGGTGTCGTAATGTTTGGGTGGGTAGAGTAAATGAACTTCGAGTAGAAGTGATCTTAACCTCTGTGCCTTTCTTCATGGTCCATCGTTGTCTATTAGCGGTTACCACGTGGACACTAAACTACAGCTTCTTCATTTGCTGCCACCTGTCCAATCTTCTTGCTCTTCTAAAATAACAAATGTTACCAAATGTCGTTAGCTCAATTGGTAAATATCTTAGGCGAAACTTAGAGTTCGCCGGTTCGAGTGACGCTTGAGACGAAACTAATATTACATGCTGTGGTTTCGGACATGGAGAGATTACATGCTTTGGTCCAGAACCTGCTGGTATTCAAAAAAAAAAATAAAAAAAAATAACAAATGTTATTGGTCACCATTTTACATTAAAACTTTTATCTCTTTGTATCTTATCATTCTCTTTTACCTGTTTTAACTATTCCATAATCGCTTAACATTTTTCATCGCTGAAAGCTCATACCATTTTGTTTTCTAACGTTTTTTTTGCCGTCTAGTTCTTATACTTTGCCGATCAATAGCATTTATATAGATTGTCTCCTTGTTAGACATCGTGTCTCTTTTCCTTCCTCTCATATTTCATTAACTTTTTAAAGTATCATTGGTTTCTACATGTCTCTCATCATTCAATTATGTTGTATGTGTTTTGTTAGAATGCATAACGACAAAATATGATTTGACTTGTTATATAAATTTATAATTTATATAGAGTTGATAAATTCTGAAAATTTGATTGGACTTCTAACGACTGGCTTATCTACTTTGCCTGGAATCTTCTTCTTCACAGAATAATACATAATACACACAAACAAACTTCTTAAGGAACTTCAGACCCTTTTTTTTTTCTCTCTTTTTTAACTTTCATTTGCATATTGTGCTTTTTCCTAAAATATCCAAAATTGACGAAAAACATCATAATATTTATCAAATTATCTCTGGTTAGTCGGATTACCATATACAATCTCGGAACATAGTTTCAAAATTTATATCCATATGCTTTTTCTCAAAATTAAAAAAATTTTAAAATAGAGAAACATTCGAGAAAGTATTGGGCTTTTATTTTTAATATACAAAATGAGCTTTTAACTTTCGTTCAAATCAAGAAATTGATATGGGTTTCAAATATCAGCTACTTGGGCCTGCTTCTTCAATTTTATGGGTCAATAATTAAAATCTACAAATCTTATTCGTGTACCCAAATTTTACTGGGCCTAAATAATAATTTTATTGGGTCAAACCAAACCCAATTTTTGTTCACCATACAAAATTACAAATCTTATGCGGGATAAAATCAGCAATGCAAAAGGTTACAAAACATTTGACATGTCTCAACAAACCCAGTAGATCATTCCCACAACAGTATCATCTATATCTAATTCTCAAACACATAGTCTTTATGCACTAAACGTTTAATTAATTCCATGGAGCTCAATTATCATAGAAAAGACCATGACAATCAGAAAAACTGAAAACTAAATTAGCCAATAAACTAAGATCGTAAGTTAATTGAGACAAATCTACGGGATCTCACCAAACTTGTAAGTGTCGACGAAAGTATACACATCAAGCTGTTTGTAATGACTGGCACCATTTGATTCCTACGTCGATGAGAGCCACGTCGGATCCCACTCAAAGGTTCAAAGACTTGAATCTTGAACCATGTGGTACCAACTCAAATCCTTTTCGTTTGTTAGGAATATTCAAACAAATAAGGACAGGACAATATCAAATAAACTAAGTTCTTCTCTTTGTTTTTCTTTGCAGAAAAAGAAAACTAATAAATTTTCTATCCCCTAAAACAAAACGATGAGATACACTAATAAAACTGATTTGGTGGGTATGAAAAAAGAAAACTAATTTGGTGGGTGATATATAATGGAGGCTGCTTTTCCAATATTTCGAAGTTTTCCTCTTATGTATAACGATGGAAGAAGGAAAAACAAAACATGCACATTTGTACTTTATTATTATATATGTAAGTGATGATGCTATGCAAATTATATCGCATGCCAAAGCCTAATAATGACAATATGATATACTTTTTTTTCTTGCATGCCTAACCCTAATAATGATATATATACCAATATACATAATATATAAATAGAGATCTACATGAACATTATATGACTTTATTCACATGAAAAAGTCTGTATTAGTATGTTTTGGGGTTAAATTGTGATATAGATTTTACTATTGACCATGTATCATGTATGTTTGCAATAAATATCGACGAATGGAATCACACTAGCCCTCGGGCTAAAATAAATAGGATTGCTCAAATAAGGCGCTACCATCAATGGACGACCGACTCAAACTGCGACAAACCCGGTTATACTATTTTGTACTAACAAAAACTTGTACTCCGATTACGTTTTTATTTATTATCATTACATATACTCTCGTAAAGACCAAATAAAATACTATTGATTCGGTTTCATAAGCCGACCAGTTATAACGTACGGTGTCGGCAGCTCGAACTCTTATGTGTCATTGTGTTTCTATACGCTTTTATTATTTTTTCATATATGCGTTTTGTATTTTTAGTGGTTACTTTTATAAAAATGTAGTATTATCTTTTAATAATAGTAATAGTAATTATATATTTAGCAAAAAGGTTGAATATTCTTCTTTGCTGTTTTAGGATCTTTCAAAGAAAATTTTATATGGCTAAAGTACTGCAACTATTCGTTTACTATATATATATATATATATATATCTTGATTAACACTTCCAAACTAACAACATGATTAATTAAAAGTAAAACTTCAAAAGTCTCTTTCCTTCTCATCCCGCTTCAGAAATTGAAGGCTTTCTCCCAACAAGACTCGTTCAATGAATAAACATATTAGATCAATCATAAATTAAATGATCAAACAAAGATAAATATAGTTAGATGAAAAGGGACATAATAACTTCCGCAGTTCCGCTAAACAAAGGTTAGTAAATAAAGATAACCTAATGATTTATATTAATATGTAGTAGTATTATAAAAGACTTAATCAAATCTAATACAGAAACTCAGCATGGAAGAATAATTTGTCATTATTATTCTTTAGTGTCAAGTATATCACTACTATTAATGTAAAGCTGTAAACAAGATAGCTATTCAATTTAATTTTAGAGTAATTACGAAGCAAAAACTATAGGGAAAATTCCCAAAAAAATCCCAAACTAATTTTTATTTGGACGTTTAATACCCAATTATTTTGGATTGGAATAAAAATACTCCATCTAATTATTTGTGGTTAAAAAATACCTCATATATAAATTATTAGTAGAATCGAACACGCAATTTAACGACTGTTAACGGACGTAACGGAATTATTTAACGGTGTTAAATTTGAAACTCATATATTTTAATCGATATATACAATCTGTTTTACGTAACTTACGATTATGTTGTTGTGGCTTGTTGGTAACATGTGACTTTATTTAGTTTACAGGCTCGGGTCCGAGACCAACTGAATGTAATTTTAGCTATTTTTTTTGGTTTTTTTTTTTTGTTTCTCTAATACCCTAGACGTCGACCAGTGGCGGAGATTTGTGGCGGGGGAGTCTGTGGCGGAGGTTTGCGGCGGGAGTCTGTGGCGGAGGTTTACAGCGGGGGAGTCTGTGGCGAAGGTTTACAGCGGGGAGTCTGTGGCGGAGGTTTGCGGAAGACGTACCGGCGATTTATGACTCGATCTAGGAGCGGAAGAGTCTAAAAGCCTTGAAAATTGCGGAATTAGAGGCTCTTGTTCATAGGTTTGATGAAACTATCATCTCTGGGACTGTAGTCGACGGCGGAGATGGGGAGGAAACAAATCCGATAAAGGACTATATTTGACTGGTCGGCGGCTAGGGTTAGAAAAACTGGAAAAAAAAAAAAAATTATCCCAAAAATAACCAATCATGCGTACAGTTGGTCTCGAACCCGAGCCTAGTCGACAACCGAAGCACGCGTTACCAACAGGCCATAACGACATAATCAGAAGTCTTCTTAAACAGAAGGTATATATCGATTAAAATATATGAGATTAAAATTTTCACGCCGTTAAATAATTCCGTTACGTCCGTTAACCGTCGTTAAGTTGCGTGTTCGATTCTACCAATAATTTATATATGAGGTATTTTTTAACCACAAATAATTAGATGGGGTATTTTTATTCCAATCCAAAATAATTGGGCATTAAACGTCCAAATAAAAATTAGTTTCGGTTTTTTTTGGGAATTTTCCCAAAAACTATATACTAAACGATATTATCAAAAAACAAAACTAAATATTAAACAAGAAATAAAGTCAAAAGTGTAACGTTCAGAACGGACGGTCACGCGTGACACAGTGGCTCTCTCATTTAATTGATTTTGTGTCTCCACTTTAATTTAAAATTTATTCATTAAATAAATTTTAAAATAATTAAATTTTTAAGTCGTTTAAGTGTTTTGATAGTCAACTTCAAAGTTTCTACATAAACATATTAACTTACCTAATGACACCAAATGAGAAATATTAACAAGTCAATTAATTAAAAAACCTTTAATAATTTCCTAATCTGAACACTTCAGTATCTTGAATTTGTGGACAAAGCTAAATAAGATTTATCCAAAAAAATTAACAAATTTGTAAATTAGGTTTATTAATTACTGAGATTAATTAGCGAAGGAGAAGAACAAAAGGACAGTCCCCATGTTTTAATGACAATGGCTCTACTTTCCACGTTTTTAATATTACTAAATCTCTTTTCTTTCTCAGACACAACTTGCTTCAAACTCTTTTACCTTCTTCTTCTTCTTCTTTAGATTCTCTGTAGCTTGAAGTGGATTCATGAATCTATAATCTCGTCTCTGTATCTAAAAGCTTCTGCTTTTACATTATCTCTGTTTCTTAAGCTTCAATGGCGGAGTATATCTGTTTATTCGGCAAGGTTCTTCTCTTTCTTTCACTCTTTGTGTTTTTTTTTTGTGATTAAGCTTCTGGGTTTCTCTGCATGTATGTTTTATCAATGAAATCTACCAAAAAGTTCTGTTCTTTTGGATTTCATAACGAAAAAAGTTATGATTTTTATATGAAACAAATCATGTTTGTTCTCTCTGTTTGTTGATAAATGTGATTAGTTTTTGATTTAGTACTGATTCTTGTCTGATCTTTATGTTTTCATGTTCTTGATTCCGACTTTAATTTGAACCTAAGAGTTGAGAGAGCCAAAAAAAGCCCTAGCGAGAGCAATTAAGGATTTAATTTAGGGTTTAAGATCAATTAAAGACTCTGATTTGGTTGTTGTTTGTAACAGGACAGTGCAGCGATTGTGATAAAGCAACCAAAAAAGTCACCGTTGTTCTTAAGAATGATTGTTTTGGTGTTTGCTATGGTTTGTGGTCTCTATATTTGCTCCGTTTGCTTAAAACAGTTAAGTAATGTCAGCTTCCAAAGCTCCCAACTTGTCCAAACTACTCCTTTTGATTCTCACTCATTACGCTTTGTTACTCGGATTCATTACCCAAAGCCTCAGACTTTTAATAGGTAACTATTTATCATTATCATTTCAGGGTTTTGTTTGTTTGTTTGTTGAAATCTTTGTTTTGGGGGTTGTCTTAAACCAGAGCTGAATGTGGGCATAATCCGGTGAGGTACTTTGCGATATTGTCGATGCAGAGGTCAGGAAGCGGTTGGTTTGAAACATTGTTGAATAGTCATAGCAATGTGAGTTCTAATGGAGAGATTTTCTCGGTGTTGGATCGAAGGAAAAACATTTCTTCAATCATTCAGACTCTTGATAGAGTTTATAATCTTGATTGGTTTACGAGTGCTTCAAAGAACGAATGCTCTGCTGCAATTGGATTCAAATGGATGCTTAATCAGGTATAAAAACACTAAACATGAATCGTTACCGCGCCATTTACTTACGGTTTTTGTAGTTTTTAATCTGATTCTGTTGCAGGGTTTGTTGGATAACCATAAAGAAATAGTAGATTACTTTAACCGAAGAGGCGTCTCGGCGATATTTCTGTTTAGAAGGAATCCTCTAAGAAGAATGGTTTCTGTGTTGGCAAATTCTTATGACCGTTATGCTAAGCTTTTGAATGGAACTCACAAGTCTCATGTTCATTCTCCTGCAGAGGTTCTTATTTTGCATACAAATGTTATGTTTTTTTAGATTCTTGATTTCGATTGGTTTCTTGATTCTTTTGATTCCACTGCAGGCAGATGCACTTTCTAGATATAAGCCGGTAATCAACTCGACATCGTTGATCCATGATCTACAAGAAACAGAGAATTCAGCTGCAAAGGCTTTAGAATATTTCAATACCACACGTCATATCGTTGTCTTCTATGAGGATCTCATAACAAATCAAACGGTAAGGTGTCATAACAATCTAAGTTAGAGACTATATGAATCCAAAAATAGATATCTTTTGCTTTAACTTGAATAACAAATGTTAGTGCTTTTGGGGTTTGAATGATGCAGACATTGAAACAAGTTCAAGAGTTTTTGAACATTCCAGTGAAGGATTTGTCAAGCAGACAGGTGAAAATACACAGAGGAGATTTGTCAGATCATATAAAGAACTGGGAAGATATAAACAAGACATTGAATGGGACCGAGTACGAGAAATTTCTACGAGCAGATTATTAGTGTTTTTAACTATCTTAGAGACTTTCTTCAACAATCATCTCAAGGGACTGCAAAGAGTCTTCTTGTTCTACTTCTTAGGTTCTTCGGCTCAACTACTTGTTGATCTTCTCCTTTCTCATCTTTTTAGAACAGAAATGATTTTGTTTTCTTTGTTCTTTAGACTTCTCATTGGTTGTATAGGAACTCGAAAATGTATTTGCTTATTTTTAGAGGTTATTTAAGTTGTTTGTGATAGTTGATTTGAGTTATGTTCTGTTCTTAGTTCTTACGTTCTTATACTTTCTTGATTCTCACTATTTCATAGACGAAATGGGCCTTGAAAATAGGCCCAGTAAGACCATTCAGAATCTCGTTTGCTCTGCTTTGAAATATTCGAATTTTGACTTGGACATATTCGAATTCTTGTGTCTTTACTCTTTTCTCATCGACAAAAAGAAAACCGTAAATTAAGGTGGAGAAATAAATGTTTTCACGAGAAATAAGGTTACATGTACTAGATTAGATATAACCTTTAACTTTTTTTTTTTTTTTTTTTTCTTTTGTTAGGTAAATAACTTTGAGTGAGATTAGAAATGCACTCTTGATTGCTAATGGTTTCACGTGAGTTTTAAATAAATAACATACTATTTTGTCTAATGATAAACTATTTTATTCGATATTACGCTATATAGATGACGATATACTACTCCATAAACATATTTGGGTGATATTTAACTCGGTTACATGATATTTTACTCGATGACATTATTTAATAAAAAAGAACACAATTACGCACAACTGCGAATGGTATTTTGGCCAAAACAGTATATAAGAAATTGATTTTTGCTTTTACGATTAAGCTATCAAATCTAGTTACCTAACAATCCTTACAAATAAAATAAGGGTTTGTTATTTTCAGCATAATTTGGGTCTTTATTGTTAAATTACTATCGACATCGTCTTCTCTTTAGTTTGTTCATTTTATGAGAAAATATCATATAACTGAAAACAAAGGTTGTACAATTGTACTAGTGATCAAATTAAGAGAGAATAATATCTCAGCTTTCATTATAAAGATTCACTTTGGCCTTTGGGGCCAGAAGTGACTAAAGAAGCTTCGAAATAATGTAATTAAATGAAAGAAAGATGCCTATAACATACCAAAAAAAGGAAAAAAAGAAAAAGCAAAAAAAAGAGTAAAGAGTGAAGAATGACTCTGAACCGCTAGAATTTTGAGACGGACCAACTTTAAGGTTGGAAAGGTTAGTGAAACAGCCTTACAAATCTATGATCGTGACATGTGATTCCTTATAAAAATTGATTCGTTCGTGGAGTTTTAATATTGGAGTAGTGTGACCTTTTCTATGAACATATGTTATTGCGACAGTTCATTAATAACGCATTCATTTTTTGTATAAACGAATCGATTAGTATTATATAAAAAGAAGAAGCAAATAGTACAGTATATATACCAATTGAAAAATGCGTAAATTAAACATAATCATTATGTTCTCATGACCTCGTGATACCAACAAACCCGTTTCGATGGCTTTGACAAACACGAACCGATACCATAACATAATGCACCACATAAAAAAAAAACAAAAAAAAAAAAACATAATGCACCACATAACTAAAGTAAATTTTTATCAAATTAAAGTAAATATTCTGATGATTAAAGTCAAACACACACCCAAATATAATATATATATTTTTCACATATATTTGGTGCTTACCTTCTAAATGACATTATTAATCCTCCCGTTGATATTTAAAGAGAACCCTAAGACTTCAAAATCTCCTAGGACAATCACACGTACGTGTGATTTTCAAATTGTTCTTTCCATTTCTTTTGACTTTCTAAAGCCATGTGTATAAAGAATAACACATGTTTTTTAATTTCAAAGTAATCCCTACTTAACAAAGGGGAATTCGTCACTTTTTTTTTTGTTTAATCTTCAAAATTGTCTACTTAAAAAAAAAATTCTTTCTTCGTAGACTTCTCAAAATTCACGCTTCGACAAAAATTATGTAAAATCTAAGACTCGTCTATCTATTAATTCAAACAAGTCTTGTGGAAATAGTGGAATATATATTACATATATATACTTTTATACCGATCTTCACATATTTAAACTATATATACGGGAATTAATGCCCCATACATATAATATCAAGTTTGTGTGCGCATATCACATTAACAAAGAGGTAGAGAAGTTGATTAATGGTAGAGTTTATGATCAAGATTTGTAATTTACAATGTTACGATTAAATTTAAAATGACGGGTGATGAATGATGATTAAGAGAAAAAACATTATTCGTTTTGCAAAATGTTCTCGTTTCTGTATGAAAAAGACGACAACAACAACAACAACTTGTTCTAAATATAAATAGAAGCCTAGGGTGGCGGAGGCTGCGGTAGGTCCCTTAGTGGAAACTTCCCTGTGTGCAGGAGCCAACCAAATTTAAAAAGCTTTCTTTCACTTTTCAACATGTCATTCACTATTTTGTTACTTTTATAATCCCTTTTCGGTAAATATCAAGTTTCTGTATTAACATGCATGCGCATTCTTCAACCATTCCGATCATTTTCGATATATTCAGATAAAATAGGTGCTAGTTTGAAAAACATACTACTAATTCAGGCTACATCATTCACATGTTATAAAATTTATATAAAGATATATACATATATTTAAAACCAAAAACATATTATAATGCTAATTATATTTGATTAAACTTGAATTTATGTCCTACATATGAAAAAGATTTAATTAGGTGAAGACCAAAAAAATAAGTTAGTGGTGACTGGTGAGTGACTAGTAGGGACGGTATAGTAGTGGTTTTGTTGATGGTGATGGTGCCTTTGACATTATTCTACTGAATCTATTGACTACTTGGCTTTTCTATATTTTGGTTTATTTTTTATTCCCTCTTTTTATTTGGAAATGGTATATTCCTTAGAAGCTTGGCGGCGTTGTTGGACACATGCGAGTTAGCAAGGAAATTAATACCATGCACAAACATTTTCTAAGTCAATAAAATGGTTCTAATATAGCGATTTTCGTCTCCTCAATTGAAGACCGGTATCGAATTTTTATCGAGTTTAAACTAGTCTAATATTTTAGTTCGTGAGATTCAGAACAACTACAAGGAGGACATTTTTTTGGTTAGATCCTACCATATCAAAAATTACAATGATAAGTATATTCTTTAAGACGTAGATGTATTTTATTAATCTCACAAATTAATGAACAATGCAACATACAATATATGAGGTTTTAACGAACGACTCAACCTATAATGTTTGGAACTTTCCCAAAACTTTGAATCCACAATAAACAAAATTTCTTATAGTCCAAGCATATTGAAAACAAATAAAATTTTGTTATTCATTGGAAAATCACGAAATAGAATTCGAAGTAAACACAAAATTTAATAGTAACCCATCTCTAAATATTACTAAGAGTTTTGGTTCACTGTGAAGTCTTTTCATACAACAACAAGAAAATTGGCGGTAGCCAACATTTTTCATGGGGTAGTGGAAGATCTTTATATTTGTGACTGAGATCATCTTATTATGCTTAGTATGAATAAAGTAATATATACTGTATATAGAAATCTCAACAGTATGTTGCAATATATATAGTCAAACATGCATATATAGAATCCTATTTAGTATTTTAAAGGAGAGAAAAGTCAATTAAAAAGATCTTTTGTCAAATCATTAGTCTTTTTAAAACTCGTGTGATTGTGTTGTTGAAAGTGCATTTCTGTGGTGGCAAAGGGCGGCTTTTCTTAGCCTTTGAATTCATTTTAAACAATGAACCGATTAATTTAGATTATTAGTATAATTTTCAACCCAAATGTAAATTATTTCCACTTCTATTGTTAAAAATCTTTCGGAATACAAATATGTGTTGTATATTCAACAATGGAGCACTACGAGAGGTTTAGGACCGACTTTGTAATATTGTATAATTAAACCTTCATCACAAATATCAATCTATCAATATTTTGGAATCTCCTTTAACACTGGCTCTATTTATCGTCCGTCCATTGATAGTCTATCATACCATTTTATATTTCAATTAACCATGCACGAGCAACAATATAAAAATGCGTGCCCACTTGTTATAATGTATTTGAATAGATCTTATGCAAATGTCCTCTATTTGCATGTGCAAATGGAGAATTCAATAAAGAACTAAGAAAGCATTTTTTGGTATTCCATGCCAAAGTAGCTAGCTGTTAGTAATGTTCGACATACGAATGTCAATCGAATTCTATCTCAAATTGTCAAAAAAAATTATCATCAATTTATCATCTCCATTAGTATATATGATGTTTCAAAAAACCAGTAACTAAATATATGAGAAACGTTTCATTTCACCGAAAAAAAATAAAAATTTGTTACTAAATGTATTCGAACGTTATTTCATTTTAGAACAAAAACCTTCAGAAATTTTAAAACGGTGTTGAATATGAATACTTTGTAGTATAATCAATATTCTTAAATTAATAGATATATAGACGTACGGTCCAAAATCAACCAGTGTGGCCATTGCCTACACATTTTTAATTCAATAAACAGCAACATAAGCAATCTCATGGTACTATAAATAAAATCTCTTTGGGGCATTCTTACTCCAAATTTCAGCACAACTACTCATATATACAAACTCCTAAACCTTACTTCTAAATCCACACAAAAAGACAACGACATGAAACTACTCTCTATCACAGTGATCACTATCGTCATCTCGATGGTATTTGACCAAGCACCAATCACTACCGAAGCAAGAAGGTTGAGGAATACAAACGACCAAGATCATTTCAAAGCTGGATCTACAGATGATTTCGCGCCTACTTCTCCAGGAAACAGTCCTGGTGTGGGACATAAAAAAGGTAATGTGAATGTTGAAGGGTTTCAAGATGACTTCAAGCCCACGGAAGGAAGAAAGTTGCAGAAAACTAACGGTCAAGATCATTTCAAAACCGGATCAACAGACGATTTTGCACCTACATCTCCAGGACACAGTCCCGGGGTGGGACATAGGAAAGACACTTCCAATGTTGAAAGTTTTCAACAAACAAACGGTCAAAATCATTTCAAAACCGGATCTACCGACGAATTTGCACCGACTTCTCCAGGAAACAGTCCTGGGGTAGGTCACAAGAAAGGGAATGCAAATGTTAAAGGGTTAAAAGATGACTTCACGCCCACGGAAGAAATACGATTGCAGAAATTGAACGGTCAAGATCATTTCAAAACCGGATCTACGGATGATTTCGCACCTACTACTCCAGGAAACAGTCCCGGTATGGGCCATAAGAAAGGAGATGACTTCAAACCCACGACACCAGGACATAGCCCAGGGGTTGGTCATGCTGTCAAGAACAATGAACCTAAAGCTTAAAAAAGGTTAAATAGTTTATAGCTACATTTAATACATTGTTTTACGATATGTATTTTTTAAATTATAGTATAGTAGATTATATACCCATTGGTACTATTTTATAATGGATTCATAATTCTAGATCATGAATAAAATTAGGGATACAATTGTTTTTGTGTTAACATCTGAAACTCTTTGTATTGTATGAGCTTGTTTATTGATATTATTTGTTAATTATGATTTTTAATACTTATTCTATCGTCCATAGTGTCCATATGGACTAATCATGAGCTTCTTAATATTTGCTACCCTCCATGAGGTAAATTAAAGCACGTAAATATCTCAAATCTCTCAACAAATTGTATTAGCTACATACGGAAAATAAACAGATACAAATGATCAAATCATATACAGACAAATAAACCGAAATCAAACCGCACAAAATCGATCGAATGTTCTTACACGTAACCAGTTTGAAATTTGCTTAAATGTTGATTAACACCAACCGTAATGATGTCTATAACGTTTAGCCGAACGGTGTGGATACAGGTGCGGGTCCAGCGAGTGCATCAGACCGTTTGATGCTTCCCATACCGCATATGATACAACCGGGCGATGAAAGAGCAGCAAACTTTGCGCCACAGAGATCACAAACATCGTATCCAATAGTCGATAATCTGCTGAGCGTAGCTGAGCATAACTGAGAAGGATCTTCGAGCGGGTCGATGGATTTGTTCGATGTGCCTCTCTGGACACAGAGATCGAGTAGTCCTCTTAATTCCTCTTGCTTGCTCGGTGGTGCCTTTGATAAAAGAAGTTCAAGCATCTGCTTTGAGTAGCCATAGTTTTGAACTTCCATGTTTCTTTTGATTGCAGTACGTATGCAGTTTATGCGGTGCTTTGCTAGTAGTGGCAGTGAAGCTAGATGCCTTGAAAGTCGTGCCATTTCGTCTTTTGCGCTTAATGCACTTGCACCTTGGACTCTTTGTAGCCTCAAGATTTCCTGCAAATGGGAGAGACGAGAAAAAAAAAGCATTGATAAGATGGTCTCGTTCGTTTGAGCAGAATCTAAACTCATTACAGGGGAGATAGATGAGAGTTAGTTACCCGAAGGAGAGTTACAGCTATCTTGTACTGAGCACAGATTGTGGCTTGAGCTTTGATATCTGCTCCACGTGACTGATCCTTAGCCAGAGCCAAGAATGCTTCGTCGAAGCAAGACAGTGCATCTGGAAGCTGGTTTTGTTCAAGATGGGCAAGTCCAGTCTTGAAACAAACCGGAGCTGCAGCTCCACGTGGAACCTGAGGAGAAAAGCAACAATAAGATTTATGCACTTTTACGTGTTGGATTTGATCTCTGTATGTAATTAGAAACATCAGAAAGTTTAATTAGTGAATTCCAAAATCAAATTCACATTTACCTGTCCAGGACGAACTGATGCAGGAGGCGATTGAGGTTGTCCAGGAGGCTTTCCAGAATCACCAGTATTTGGAACTCCAAGAACGCTAAGATCAAGAGGCTGTGTAGAAACGGGAACCTGAGATGGCCCCTGGGTCTGACCAGGATACTGTTGAGGAACACCGCCGTCAGGAAGTCCAACAGTCTGAAATGGAGCACCAGGTTGTTGACTTGTCTGTTGAGGATACTGTTGAGGAACGCCACCATCGGGAAGACCAATATCAGGCAGAGTAGTATTGTTTGCTTGATTTGGAACACCCTGTGCAGCTATTGCAGCTTTAGCAGCTTGGTCCATTTTCGAAAGATAAGTGCCAGGAGGAGGCAATGTCTTGGCAACCTCAACAGATGGGATTGTGTTTTGGAAAAAGTCTTCCGGTATTGGCGCGGCTACACCAGGTGGAGCTGGTTGAGAAACTGGTTGAGGTTGCTGTGTCCATGAGCCCATCGCAAAAGGATCAACAGGAGCAGATGCAGAACTGGGAGCAGTTGTAGTTGCAGCTGTTGAGGAAGAAGGCTGGCTTAACATCTGACCCAAATCCTGGGATCCAGCATTAATTGATTTTGTTCTACTCATCGTTAAGCCTAGCCCATCTCCGAGTTTAAACGTTTTAGCAGCTTCTTTAAGCTTATTGACGTCCACAGTGGTAGATGTTGGCTTTTCTCGTATTCTAATCTGCAGCTTCTTAGGTTTTGTTACACCTTCCTCGTCACTGCTGCTGCCATCACCAGCAGCACCATACATTGTTTTCTTGAATTCCTCAGCAGCCTTTGCCTGTTCATCAGCTACGTTTTGTTTTCCAAGGGATTCCAGACCCATCAACGAACTGGATTCACCAGCAGGAAGTGCCAAAGGTTTATCCGATACAGGTTTACCCAACAGACTAAGCCCTCCAGGTTTAGAAACTAAGCTGTCTTCTTTAATTTCCACCACATTAACTCTGCCTTTGACACAGCCCAAGTAAACACCAATATGATCAGCTACTATTGAGGGGATTGTTCCATCTTCATTCTTCATGTATGGCATTACTTCCCCAGCAAGCTCCCACTTCGGTATGCTCTTCATGTCGGTTGGAGTCTTGATTTCCCAGTTGCCACCACCCCATTCTGGTCCTTTTGGAACCATACTCTCAGCGGCAAAATTAGCAAAAATTCCTTGGGTCCATCCTGTAGACCGTACTCGTAGAATCCTTTCACAATATCGTCTCAACTCGGGATCTCCGCTTTCTTCTTCCAATTTCTGGGCAAGACGACGCATAGCACTAGGGTTGAGGTGGCATATAAAAAGATCTAGCATGCTCTCATAGTCGCCTATTACTTCAAAAGTTTCCTTTGCGCTATCAAATTGACCATATCTACAGTAGAAAGTAGTTAGATGACTGAACCTTGCCAAAAACATTTCCATAAGAAACTAGCATAGAGAGGCAATTTAGGTACAAGGATCTAGAAGTGTTATATCCAAGTTCCAACTAACTGTAGATGGTGACTGGGGAGGCAGTAAGAAATACTTGAGATTTAACTTTTCAAGGTCCAGTTCAAGATGCGCTAAACTCCCACATTTATTAGTTCAACAGAAAATGAGGTTGAATAGGCCGTTCAACAGTAACTAACTATATTTTTAGATATTCAGATGCTACATATGTCCTGCAAAGAAAGTTTACTTACTTGATACAAGCATATCCAAGCTGCCGGAACCTCTGGAACAAAAGAGAAGTTGGAGGACATTTTGGATAGTCTCTAGAACGCAAGAACTCGTCCTTTAAAACCGACAATGCCGTGGAGAATCGAAGAGCCTTTATTGCATATGCACAACGTAATACCTAATTTTTTCGAAACCGTTTAGTAAGAGAACACATCTTCTGAGGGAGAGTTCTTGGTCATTAGATCTATTGAACTCAACTCACCTGGTTGAATTGAGGGCTCGCTTGAGCTAATGATACAGCAAGATCTCCACATACTGGAGCGCTTCTTGCAAGAATATCAAGAGATCTTGGAGTAATTCGCAAGCTATCAAACCTGCAGCCAATATATCAAAAAAATAAAGAAGCTAATATAGTTAGCATGGAAATGGAGTCAATAAAGATAGCTAGGAAAAGAGACAAAGAAACTCATTGATGTATCATGCACACCTATTCCAAAGATTCAACATTAAATATGTAACAAATTTCGAACATGAAAGAGAAGAAAAAAGGGACAGGGGGTAACCTTGTTGTTATTTGATACAATATTTCAGAAAGGTCCACTTTCTGTTCAAATGTTTGTTGCATTGTAGAAAATCCGATTAAGAGTGGTTCGAGTAGCCCAACAAGACAGCTCTTGATTTCGATCCCCTTTTTCTGCTTCGGACTTATATCAGTGGGATTAGCAAGCAATAGGCGGTCATTCAAGGCACCAACTAAGGCTGCGTTGAAGAGAATAAATTTAAGAGAATGAATACAGTAAAATCACCTTAAGCATATAGAGAACCAAGATCTGCTTACCTGCGTACGGTGTACTTATAGAAAGAATGGTCCTCACTTTCCCATCCCAGCCAAGCAAACATACAGCAGTTGTTGTAGAAAAGAGTAAGGCAGGTCCAACCCATAGAAGGGATCTAAAGTTCGCATAAGTTAAGGTTTTTCAAAAATCAACGAGCATACATCTAAATAGTGTTAATATATAATGCACATGATTGAAAGGGAAAAAAGATAGTTTAATCAGGATATTGATGGTAGTCCTCTATCATATTTTGTCGAACTGCTTGCCAATATATCAAAATCTGCAGACACCATCAGCACCCTTTGGGTTGTTAATATCCCTGCGACATATCCCCGGGGTGTTTCTTGCCATTGAACCTGTTCATTTTGCGACAACAATTAGTTCTATACACAATTTGGGGAAAAAACTAATTTGGAGATCTGATACATATTCTAAGAATCTCTACATATACCAAAGTTGATTGACCAAACTTTCAGGAACAATTATCTCAATGACCCTAGTCGAATCAACCAATTTTTGACAGCAATAGAACAGCTAACACCAACATGATGAGTCATTTTCTTGTCATTGTTTTCTGAACGAGATCATGTTACTTTAAGAGAGCTGGCCAGATGTAAACCACATTAAAGGGTAAGGAATAAAACGACTGCATTTACAGGGCTGGCCATAGAATCAGAAATTAAATATCAAAAGCAATCAGCAGGACATTCATGTTTTGTAGGGAATTTCATACCTGAAGAGCTATTTCGTGCTTCTTCAACTTGATTGACTTTCGTCCCTCACCTTGTGTTGAAATATAATGACCATCTGAAGCTGAGAGACGGTAGCCTTGAAACAACTTTGCCAGCCCAATTTGGGTTCCATTACAAGCAAACATCAGAGTGGACTCTGTAATTTAAAGAGGCATCAGTTAGCGATGGCATGCCATTGATAAGTAATCTTCAAGAATGGGAATATCTGATGCAACATCACCTATCGGTGTGGAAAAAACACGATCGACTTCTGTCTCAAACATGAATTGTTGTGGACCCTGAATTCCAGAAGCATCTGCCTCTTTGTTTTGGTTCTCTTCAGATAACAAATTCTTCTCATTCTCTTCCATTGTGGTAAATTTTGGGAGGATATACATAGACAGTCCTGTCTTATCCGCGTCAAGAATTGCAAATTGATCATCATTTGGGCCGATAAAGGCAGCATCACAACCTGCATAGCAAAAAGTATAGCTTTGAGGTTAGTCCTCTCTTGTTCGTTTACGCTTTCGGAAACACAGGAAAACAAAAAGGATGAACGCCTTAAATAATTCTAAGCTTGCATCTCTTTCAAGTTAAAAGATCATTTGTTGAAACCTTCAGATTCCTTGAGTGCTAGTCCCTAGGGTAAACAGCAGTAGACCCTAGCATCAGTCTCCCAGCGGAAAGAGCACCTACTGTTTTATAGCATACATTGTACCCCTGGTATATCTAAATGATTGGATGCAGTATGATACCATTTAATGTTTTTAAAAACTAAAAATTATGAGGCGTGATAGGAAGTTCTCTAAAAAGTAGCAAGGAAATCCAATGATTAGACAAACCTTTAGCAGTGCTTCCTTTGCTATTAGGCAGCTGAGAACCTGTATTTTCCCAGTAAAGCACAACTTCATTCGTAGCACCACTAAACTCAAAGACAACCAGAAAGAGGTGCCTTTTACGACTGTAAACAATGTGTTTCGAATGATATTCTACATTTCCGGGAATCTGAAACAAAAAAAGTACTGTAAGTACAAGGAAACCAATAAATAAAACGAAATCACATGATATCAGATAATACCGATGTGTACAGCTTCTTGTAGATGTTGTCCGTTCCAGAACAGAGACTGTGTGCCATGAGGTTAAGGCCCTCGATATAAAAGGCCCTCACAGGATAGTGAAGAACTCTATTTGGCTTATTGAAGAAATTCAGTTCCAAATGAAATGGCTGTCAAATAACCCAATCAGTCAGGCATAAATCAGATACTACAGAAAAGAAGCTCTAAACAACAGTTACATGCCTGGCAAACAGGAATGTCTTTAAGTTGATCCTTTGTATCTACGACGGTAATAAGGGGTAACCTTGATATTGGAGCAGTTTTAGCATGGCCCTCCATAAAATGCTGTACGGATTAAGTCATGGACTTAGCTCAAAATAGTTCCAAGAAATAAAACAAACATAATGTCTAAGCAAGAGGGTAAAACAGTCATACACTATACAGGAACGCCTTCCGTGCAATATCTGAAATTGTTAGCTGACTTTGGCTGCAGAAAAGTAATGGAGTGAACTATGAAGCCGATGAAATATAAAAAACTTGAGTCATTTGGTACGGAATTCAGGGCATATTCACTGCACATGATAGTCATTTTTTTTGCGAAATTTCTAACACTGATTGCATGAGGAATATCCACTTACCCCTTGTGATGATGCTCCTGTAGCAGAGCTTGGAGTTGATGCTCAGCTAAAATTCCAGAAGAACCCATCGATGAAAGCTTTTCCTTTAGAACAGAAGCTGTTAATCACCTCAAATGTTAGAAAGCAGGATATTGATACTGAACAACTCTGGTCGAACCCACAACCCTTGTTATTAACAGAGGATTGGCGACTCTCAAGAGACACTTCCATACAGATTAAGAAGAGTATCAATTGTTATGTTCAAATAAAATTCGTGTTCAAGATTCACCTGAAGATCCCCTAGCACTTTGCAGAACTGCAAAGAGCTGCTTCCTTCCTTCCCTAGTCTGAGCTGCTCGATTTTGAGTGTTCTCATTACCCGCCATGTTCTGTATAAAAAACCAAGTACGTCAAAGACAGAAGCTACACTTCTACCTCAGCGAGAAATGCCAGTAGGAAGTATTCTTAACTGCAAAAATCAAAGCTGCTAAGTTCAGCTTTGGGTGAACTTCTAAAGTTTTGATTCGCGGTAAAGGGTAAACAGCTTCCCCACCCTGTTGAGAGAGAATTCTAGGAACGTCTATTGATTCCATAGCTGCAAAAAAAAGGATAGTGCTACAATGCATAATCAAAGTTTCCAAACCAAATCATGGGAATTATTCCTGAATCGGGGAGTAAAAGACATTTCCTCCTTAAGAGACATCAGGCTTACCAGCAGGCTCAAAAAAGTTTGTTTGTGTCGAAGGCCTGTTGGGATTGATTATTACCCGTGTCTTCCACACTTGAAGAGATCCATCCTTGGACACAGTGACAAGTACACGCAACATAGAAAGCCAAGAAATTGAAGTGATGGGTTGCGAACCCACTTGCGTTCTGCAGTTGTACCAAAATATAACAAACAGGAATGAATTATTACGAGAAAAAAGGGGCAGCAATTTCATGCCAGCTGACAGAAATCTGAAAGCAACGAAATTGACTTACATTCCAATCATATTAGGTCTTTCAGTTGAAACATCCCACGCTAAAAGTGTACCCCTCCTATCTCCAACAAAAATCCATTCTAGTGTTGGGTGAAAAGCAAACGAACTTGCGCCGATAAGTTTAATAGTATTATCAACTGCGAGGATAACAAAGAACTGCTTTAAGTGGTAGTTATTGCTCAGGATACCACAAGTGAGAAGAATAAAGACAATGAGACATGTGAGATCCTCCTATACTCACGTTGTAGTGTATAATGAACAGCATAAGTATGAATGTTATAAGCTCTTATCAACCCCTCTGCATATGCTACATACTGAAAACACAAAACATCGAACAAAGAAATCAAGCGTATGTACAACGAAACAAGATCCCACACACTAAGAAGGAAAATGTGGATGTTGTATCATACCAGGACAGGAAGTCGAGGGTGGCAAGCAATGTTCACAATCGGTTTCTTCAGGTCTGTCTTAATTTTTGTCGGAGCTCTTCCACCTTCAACAGTTCCAACAACTACAGCAAAGAGAAATTATAGGCAATCAAAAAAACAAATACACAAAAATCTGCTAATATAGGAGAACTCAGCAACCGAAAACCCAACCTGTCACACTCATTCGTTTTGGGAATCCAAAAAACACAACAGGTTGGAGTGGCGTCACAGCAAGATGAACTTCAGTATCCGAGGATATGTGCTCACTCCTCTTCTCCGGTGAGTGCAATACACAAGTCTGCTCCGTTTCAAAATCACAAGACCTAATTGTACAATCCTAAACAATTCCAAACAAAAACCAGTTTAAACGCTAAACACCGAGCTAAAACTACTATTCCAAATTCTCATTTGAGGAAATTGACCTCAAGAATGGCAACAACAGCATTGCTGCTAGTAGGACTATACAACATTCTAACAGCTGGAGATCCAATGTCAATCGAGGCGATCTTACATCCCGTTAATGCATCAAATTCTGCAAACCAAATAGGTTTCAACATCAAACAATCACAACTATGAAACCAAGAATCTTCAAAAGCAAAATCGATAACAATTTGCTGAGATTTTATTACCCATGATGTGAGAGCCAACGGCAACAGCGATAACGGCTTGAGAAGGATGAAACGCCGCCGTATGAGGTTGAAGTGGCTTGCTCACACCGCGACCTACATGACGCAGATCCAGATGCTGCACCGTTGCCCACTCCATAACTTCTGAAAGACAAAATCCGGTTGATCATTGTCGCAATTACGATTCAGATCGATCAAGAGAACGAGAGAAGCTGATAACGATATTACTGATCTGATCTTTGAGAGATAAATTTTCAAAAAATGGAAAATTCGACGATAGCTTCAAGTGTTGATTTTGGTTTTACCTGCTCTTAGATTCGTGTGAGATTAGGAGTTCATCAATTTGCTTCAAATATGATGCTGAGGATATGAAGATACACGAAGGTTTTTGAAAACAGAGTGAGATCGAACGGGAAGATCAAGAGAGGAAGAAGAACATCGAACCAAAAATGTCAAATATTTGGGTCGAGTTGTCCGGATCTATCTTCTCCGGGTCGGATCTTTCGGGTGTTCCTTTATGCTCCATTGCCTCACTGTCTAATTCTAAAACGACGCCGTTTTTATGGGCCTAAATTTTGATTAGTGGGCCTAAATGGGCTTTAAGAGGTCTTTCAAAGAAGTAGACAAATCTGCATCTAAAAATTGAAATATACATATTAATTTTTGTTATTTTGTTCTCGTTAAGAATATTCTTTTCGAGTTTTCAAGAGATAATTTTTACAACAGATTAAATTTTGAGGAGATAATAGTTACAAGATATGGAATTTTATCTTCGTTATCATATTTTTTGTTTGTAAAAGATCTTTGTTATATTTTTAACCTTTAAAAAAAAAAAAATTAAATCCTTCTATATAAATATAAACCGATTTAGTCTCACACTCACAAATCTTCCTTTTTTTCCCTTAACGATGAAAAACTCCATCGTGCTTGTAGCGGCAGCTTTCCTTTGCCTTGCCGCTTTTCCGACCACAACCGTCGGAAAATATTGGCCAAAAATCGAAGGATGGCCAAATCCGTCTGAAATCTCTAGAAACGAACTGATGTTTTTGAACACTGGCCATAGTTTCGGCTATGGAGATTCCAAAGTCTGGAAATGTACTTATAGCAACGGATCTGCTCCAGCCATCTCCATTTCTCCATCAACGCCGTTTCCGTCGACTCCATCAACTCCATCAAAACCGTCTCCTTCCCCTCCAACTCCCAAAACATCTCCGCCACCACCAACACCATCTCATCCGCCTCCAGCTCCCAAAAAGTCTCCGCCGCCACCAACACCTTCTCTTCCGCCACCAACGCCCAAGAAGTCTCCATCTCCGCCTTCAACACCGTCTCTTCCACCTCCAACGCCCAAGAAGTCTCCATCTCCGCCTCCAACACCCAAGAAGTCTCCATCTCCGCCTCCAACGCCAAAGAAGTCTCCATCTCCGCCTCCAACACCCAAGAAGTCTCCATCTACACCTTCAACACCGACTCTTCCACCTCCAACACCCAAGAAGTCTCCATCTCTGCCACCAAGTGATGATCACTCATCATCTCCAATAAATTCACCTCCGGAGCATCGCCATCATCAACAGAATCCATGGGAACACATCGAGAGCTGTATGAGAAACATGGGACCAGTTGGGATGTGTCGGATGCAGATGGAGGTCAGTTTCTACACGAGGTTGTTTAGTGTTAGTGACTATTGTTGCAACCTTGTTGTCAACATGGAAAGTGAATGTGACGACGTCGCTTGGGGATTCTTCAATGATCCTTTCTTTGTTCCTCTTGTTCGTTACACTTGCCATGCCACATGCTAGTTTCTCTTCTTTGATTAATTAGGGTTTTTTATCTTTGATAATTTGTTTTCTTGTTTTGGTTCGTTTAGTCATGCAATAGTTGTTGCCGTTCATATCTAATGAACGGATCTTTTGTTAAGGTTTAATCAATGAATAATTATCTCTTTCTTCTCTTTATTTGACGTTGCTTTGTTTATGTTCCCAAATGAATAAAGAAAAAATCAAATACTATCAATCGCATTACTCGCAAAAGATTCTTTTACGTGAGATCGTACATGGTTCATCACAAAGTGAGGAAGAGAATTAATATCCAATTAATAAATTCAATAGCATTCAATTTATGTGAGATTGTATAAAGAATTATATTTTTGGACTTGAAAAGATAGTTAGGAAAGCGAACTGTTGTATCATCTGATTCATATCGATCTTAGTGCAATCTCTCTTTCTGTTGTATCTGTTTGTAAATTATAATTTTGAATTAAACTATAAACATAAAAATCTCCACTCAACAGAGTTGGATCTTCTTGTTGGATTTTAATGGAATATTCGAGGAAATTATTAAGAAGACGATTTGAATGTTTCTTTTTCTTTTTACTCGTGATATTTATTTCAGTTGATAAATTTACTTGATTAAAACTTTTTTTTTTGGCTAATTACCTTCCAGTCTTTGGTTTTTATTTTTATTCATGTTGATTAGTTTACATAATTTTTTGGTTTAGAAATCATATAATCTACCAAACAGAAATATATATCTAATCTTCTTTTCATGATTTCCATATATTTATGTAGATTGTGCTAATTTCCTATTCTTAAAAAAAAAACCATAGTTATCAAACAAAAAAAAATCATTTTAAATATATTTTTTAATTGCAAAAATATATTTCACGAGATAATGGTTGCAAGCAAATCAGTTTATAGAGATAATAACTGCTACAACATATTCCTAGTATATACAAATTCTATCTTAATCCACATTTTTTATTTTGTTTACTTTAAAATAAAAGAATAAAACTCTATATAAACGGATCCATGCATTCTCACTCATTTTTGTTTATACACCTAAAAAATCCTTTGTTTCCATCGCCTTAACACCATGAAGAGCGTCATAATCATTGTAGCTCTCCTATGCCTCGTCTCTCTTCCAAACCATACCGTCGGATTAACAAAGAAACCGTGGCCTAAGCCGTCCGATCTAGCCAACAACAACAACAACAACAACTTCGGTGACTCTAAGGTTGGTTGGGCTTGCTCCTCCTCTTCAGACCCCAACGCTCCTCCTTCACCTCCCGGCTCGTTCCCTAATATCCCCAAAATCCCGGGAATACCAAACATCCCGTTTCCCAACATCCCGGGAATCCCGATGCCTAACATCCCGGGACTCCCTAACATTCCTGGACTTCCACGTCCTCCGTTTGAGTCTCTTCTCGTGTCGCAATCAGGTGAGTTAGAGAAGTGTTTGTCCAAAGATGGTTCGAAAACGAACGAAAAATGTTTCTCGCAAATATTTTCGAGTTGGGCGGAGAATGATTTCGCATTGGACAAAGAGTGTTGTGAGGTCATAGTAAATATGAACAAGAGGTGTTACGGCCATCTTCACATGATGTTTAAGAGTCATTTCTTTGCTCCTCTTCTTCAATACTCTTGTCACATCAAGCATGCCAAGAACTAAGCACATCTACCTCAAGCATCTCTTTTTTTTTCCTTCTTGTTTTTAGTTTTGTTAGGGTTTTGTTTTGTTTTGTCCATTTCTCATGGGCATATCTTGATTTGTTCGTCGTTTAATTAATAAAATTATAGTTTTTATATTTTTATATTAGAACTTAATTCTCTCTTCTGTTACAAATTTGTTCACAATTGTATGTGCATGCTCGTAGATCCGCCTGAAATCACGGCAATATAAAGCTAAAAAGTTTTACACTTGGGCTGTGTGGGCTTTACCAATTTTGATGGTTTATCTTTCAATTTATGGTTTTTTTCCAACCAAAATATATCAGGCTTCGAAGGTGAAAACAGATGAACTCAAAATATTTGTGTAAAATCATGTGAATATAAGATAATTTTGATCAAATAATTTATAAAAGAAAAAAATTAATTAAGATTTTGTGTGTGTGTGTGTGTGTATTTTTTCTCTCAACAAAATTAACTAAGTTATTTGTAGTCAAGTGAATATGCAGATGAATGGAGAGATGAGCTGGATAATTTGATTAGATGAAATTTAACACACACAAATTTTTTCAAATATAAATTAATTTAACTAATCTATAATTGGAAAAATTGGAGTGTAATTAATAGAAACATATTTAAAATAATTCTGTAATTTCAACGACAGCTACTCTTCAACTCCTTTGGGACCTCATGATTTAATGTTTGTTATTAACTTCATCCCCACATCTCAAGAACACGTAATTAAATTTGTTTTTATGTGACGGTGCGAGAGCAATCATGAGAAGAAAATAACATAATGTCTATATTTTGTTTTGTTTTCACTAAAAGAGCTTCAAAACGAGAATATTATGAGAATGACCAGACATTATGTTATTTTCATAACGTTGTGTTCATAACCGGCTAATAAATACGGTTTTAAAGATAATAATCTGATAATTATTATATAGTAAAGACTAAAGACACATATTTAGTTAGCACAAGTCACTATATTATATCATTGTATATGGTTTTCTAGACTACGTACTATTTATTTAATAATTTTGAACACTGTATTTTTGGTAGGATGTTAAATCTGTTAATATCAACTTATTATGAACTTAACGAAAAGACTCTTATCATATGATGCAAATATGCAATGAACACACATTATATAAAGGTGATCGAAGGGCGTTAAAAGAGAATGGAGGAAAGATTTGAGAAGATTTAGACCAATCATAGAGGATATGGGTTACTCAGTTACCAATATCTGGTCCCATATATGATAGTATCTTATTGCCACTTTTTCATATATATTTGTTCAAGTTTATAGAATCCTTTTTGTTGCTGCAATAATTTATCAATCCTTATCTTCCGCAGTTCACATTCATAAATCCCATCAAAGATATCTCATATCAGTCGTAGGATAATCTTCGATAGTTCTAAAAGCAAGAGTACTAATGTCAATCTTTAACAAACAAAGGAAAGAGCAATATGTTCAAGAAATTAACTCTCGTACTTTTAGAACAGATCAAGAACATTTACTCTTGTATAAAAATACTAAAAATAACGTTTTTATTAACGCTTTCGTGTACTACAGCGGTAAGAGGTTACCAATAAAAGTTTGCATTAAAAACTAAATTAAATATATGGATATACAAGTAATGCATGTATCTAGAAACTTCTATGAATTATACAGATGTAACATTTACATTTGTATGTATTTGTTTGAAACGCCTATGAGCTGTTGACAGAAGAGGAAAAGGGGCAGCAAATGTCCAACTTGCAAGACAAAAATAAAAGCCAAATCTATATACAAAAACCAAAAGGGAAATCTCATAATAATATTCCCCATAAAAAGAATGCAAATGGGTCAACCTATTTAATAAATTGTTATCCTCCTCATTAGTTTTTTTCATTTCTTATAAATATATATTCATCGAAGTTTTTTGCATGTATATCGGTATTTTATTTTTAACATTACAAGCCTACAACTATACTAAATATTATTCTCTCCAACTTTTTCCTTAATATTCACAAAAGTTTTCTATAGTTTCCTCTTATGATGTGACTAAATCCAGATTAATTATTCGAAATGTGAAAAACACTATTTATTTTTAATGTTAAACCATATGTATTTAGAACGACCAATAAATAAAAGTGCAATGAAAAATTCGCATATGGTATATTGACCAATAGATAGAATCCTAGCTCAACCACGTAATTTACAAAAGCTAGCCCACCTTATATAATTCTTTTCGAAACATCTTTAGAGTCTACCAATTGCTATATTTCCTTCCACATGACATGTCTCTTTGTCTAAGAACCACACTATCCATTGGACAGTACCATCTTTCACCTAGAACACATATATAATTCTAAATATAGAATATTAATAAGTCGATAAAGGTATACGTATATTTGTACTAATTGTTACATCATTGCAATGTTAAATCTGATGATTGTTATTAAAGTAGATGAAACTTTTCTCATATACATGACAAAGAAAGGTGTGTATATATATATACAACCACCAAAATTTATCTAGTCCACAAGAATATTTCTCTCTCTCTCACAACACAATCTTATTAAAGGCCTAGGTTAAGGGGACACAACAACTTAACTAAAAAAATTTCTTATATTTTTCACTATTTTATCCATAGAGAAGAGTAGTAGATATAAAGAGAAGAACTGGTGGAGAAAGGAAAGATCATATATTAAGTATCGATGATGAGAAACGTAGGGAGTTCAAGTTCCAGCGGCAAAGGCATAGCGGCGGTGGTCGGCGTTGGTCCAAAGCTTGGCCGCTCCATCGCTCGGAAGTTTGCTCACGAAGGCTACACCGTCGCCATTCTCGCTCGCGATCTTGGTTTGATTCCTTTTCTCTTTTCATTTTGTTTTTGCTTCTCTTTTTATCCATATCTTTATCTATTCATACACTTAATACGCACCCACATATTTCCATGTATACATATGCTTTTCTTTTAATATGTGGCCATGGAAATTCTCTTCTCCATTTTTATTCCAAATAAGAAAAGAAATTGCGGCAGTTTTCTTTGGAAGATGAGTTATTTTTCAAGCCTTGAACAAACAAAAAAAGAGTTATTTTTAGAATGTTTTTTTTTCGCTGGATTTCTGCTTTTGGCAAATATATTAATGCGGCTGACTCACACCACACAGTCACACACACACTGACACACATGCATATTAATCATATATAATTTAAAGTCAAAAGGTGCATTTTGAATGTAAATTTTGTTAAAAAAAAGTTTTCAGATTTTGGGTTTATACATCATATATAGTATTCAGTACATCACTATAGGCTTAATTAACTGGTTGGTAAGACATACTAATATATAGTGGAAATTTTCTGTAAATAGTTGTCTCGATGAATTCAGCTTCTTAATTAAGTAAAAACTTATCTAATTCAATTGGAATATTTTTTGTTTTATTTTACACAAAAGTCACGGAAACAGTGACACTTTTTCGATCTGTTCGGTGATGAAAATAGTAGTAACTTTTCCATATGTAATAGTTACTACTTGCTTAGTCACGTCCATATTAGCAAATATTAATCACAAAACGGTGCACTTGCCGACACTACAAAATATAAATATAACACCTTTTTTTTCTTCTTAATAACACTTTTAAATATATACTTGATATAGTCGGGTAAATTGTGCAGGTAGGTTATCTAGAGTAGCAGAAGAGATAGCAAGAGAAGAGAAAGCTCAAGTGTTTGCTATAAGAATTGATTGTGCAGATCCAAGAAGTGTAAGAGAAGCCTTCGAAGGAGTATTGTCATTAGGGTTCGTGGAGGTTTTAGTGTACAATGCTTATCATTCTTCTTCTTCTTACGCAAGTCACCATCCCACTTCTTTCACCCACATTCCTTTTCAATCTTTCCAAACTTCTATCTCTGTCTCTGTCTTCGCTGCTTTTCTTTGCGCCCAACAGGTGACCTTTCTTGAAATTGCAATTATTTATACGAACAATGTAGACATTTTTATTTTCTTTTAGGTTTACTATTTGATTTTACTATGGTATACCAAAAGGTTATTCCCGGGATGATGGAGAAAGGGAAAGGAACTATACTCTTCACTGGTTGCTCGGCTTCTTTGAATGGTGTTGCTGGTTTCTCCGAACTATGTAATCTCCTCAAGATTTTTTTTTTTTTTTTTTTTTTTTAATATTCGCAAAATATTTATAAAAAAAATTGGAATCGGAACAGGCTGTGGGAAATTTGCGTTGAGGGCACTGTCTCAATGCTTAGCAAAAGAATATGAAGCTTTTGGAATACATGTGGCTCATGTTATCATCGACGGTGTGGTTGGACCTCCAAGGTACGTAATTATGCGATTATATTCCAACTTTATTGATTAAAAATTATAAGAAATGAATTTAGACCACAAGTATCTGTCCGAAAAAGGCTCTTTTAACTTTTTATAGCTTCCACAAACGGCAAGATTCTGATCCAACCGACAAGATTCTTACCTCAAAAAATAAAGGAATTTATTAGAATCGCAAATAAAGAATTTTGTGACTCCATTTGTTATTTATTTACTCTTTTTTCTAGCAAATGGAAATATTTATGATTGCTTACTTGTTGAAATTCACGGTTAAAGATGAAAATCTCTTGAAAATGTATTTTCAGAGAAATATACATCGTCCCTCCTCGAGGAATGGTCGTGGACCAATCATTTAACGTAGGAGGCGAAGATGGAGAAGGAGAAGGAGAAGGAGAAAGCTCGGGGGTGATGGGAATGGATCCTGATGTATTGGCTCAAACATATTGGTATCTCCATGTCCAAGACCGGAGAGCTTGGACCCATGAACTCGATATCCGACCATCAAACACAAGATTCTAGCTAGTACTTTAAATTATAATAATTTGATTCTTGGGGTTTCTGATTTTATTCAATGTTCTTTGGGCATATATATATATTCATATTCTTGTGTTTGGAATGTAATTAAGTATTTTAAAGGGTTTGTTTATGATTGGTGTGAATGATCTATCAATCTCTTATCTCTACGTAGTTTCATTTTTGGTTTTTAGTTTGCGTGACTTTTGAGATAATATTTTGGTCTTGTCGGCTACGGCTTGCACTTTTTATATATGTGGTGTTAAATTTAAAAAGGTACAAGCGACTTCGTGTTCAAATTCGATACACAAGAAGATCCCCGACAAGTCATGTGAATGGACATAAGATCCGATAACAAAATAAAAAGGGCCCCCTTAAAGGTAAATTAGAAACAATCGTCCTTTAAGTGTTGTCACGTCAAGGAACTGCTCTATGTTTCGGGGTCCATTTTTTCACACAAGAGAGTGAAACTTTGATGATGGTCAAGTCTTCAAGAGAATCTCATTAAGCAGTCTTGTAGCTTTCTTATTTTTTTAGAATAAGAAAATAGAGTACTGATAAACAGTGTTGATCAAGAACAGTAGAACACATTGAGCTAGCACTGTGTTCTTGTATTGCGGGAAGAGACCAGGAACAGTGAGTTAAAAAGTTACATGCCACCCCAAAAATCATGAACAACCATTGGTAAGTGTTAGTTCGCTAGGAGTAGGCTTAGTACAATCATGAGACGATCACATAATGAAATAAGCTTTCTGTACTTGGGAGTAATCAAAACACGAGTTTACAAATTACCTTTGAGGCTAATCAATCATTATAAAATCATTAAACTCTCTGATGAAACTACTTATATAAGTGTGAAGAGAACAAAAATTTCTTTTGCATAACAATTTCTCAACATCTCTGGCATAATGTATATAGCAACTGTATATGATTACCTTTGCAATAGAATGATCTTTGATAAACTGCTTCTTTGCTCCTATCTTTCATCCTGAGCAACTGATAAGAAATCAAAAGAAGAATAAAATCATAAAACTGCCAAAATTCCACCATCGGCAGAGAACATAGAACATAGAACATAGAACAAGAACATAGAACATAGAACATAGAACAAAGAAAATGGCTGCAATAAACTTGTTATGTATCGACTAATTGTAGTTTCTGTGATTACCTTAAAAAATCTTCTGAGCTAAGAAATGTTCCTGAGTCAATCTTGTTTCCCTAAACCAAATTCCAAAGAGATTTTAGTGACACAAGCTAAAGATATGTAGCAACAGCATTCCCAATTTATAACAGAAACTTAGAATGATGCAATTCAAAATTCAATGATTTCCCCCAAAATTAAGCAAAATGTTCCCTATACTAATCAATCAATCAAGATTCATAACCCCTAAATTGATGCAAACGAAGCAAGGTATGAACAAATTAAAACCCTAAATTGATAAACCTTTGAATAGACGAGTGACTTTATCAACAAGAGAGTCTTCATCACCTTCTTCTTCATCATCCCCTTCCTCATCATCTTCTCCATCGTCGTCATCAGAATCCGAATTCGAATCATCTTCGCTCAATTCACTATCATCTCCACTGAATTTGAATAAATCCAGAATCGATCAAAAACTAGAATCAAATCGAGAAATACATCACCGCGAAAATACGCAAATACCTCAAACTCCGATCTTCTTCTTCATCATCATTATCTTCTTCATAATCGTCTTCGTCGCTACTCTCGCCATCAGAATCATCATCCTCTTCCTCATCTGAGCTGTAGATATCGATGATCTCCTTCTTATCCGCCATGGAGATTTCAAAAAAAGCAAACGGCTTTTGAATTTTGATTCATTAATTTTTCTCAAGTAACCATTAAAACATTGTCGGAGCCCCGAAACTCTCCAACTGGATCCACTTGTCTCTCGTAATTAGTTGGCACAATAATTATATAAGCTTTGTTTAAGCATACAATGATGAGCCTTGGGAAATCTGGTTTATTCTTGTGATTTTCTTTTAGTTATTGTATGTAAAACAAATTTGCAAAACTATATTATATATTTTTAATGGTCCATAATCTTATTTTTTTTTTTTCCTTCCAAATACTTTATTAATGACCAATATCAGTGTTTACAATATGAGCTAGGAAAGTAGGACAAGAATGAAACATCATTCCATTGTTATTACATAATCTTATAAGTCATTGTTCATAAACAAATTTGCAAAACTATATTATATATCGATGCTATAATATAAGATGTTCAACTCAAGGACCGAGTTTATGAACAATGATCAAAAAAATTATTTAATGGGTGTTAGTGTGAGTTGGATTTAGATGGAGTTGCTTGGTTTAGATCAAAAAAAATAATATATGTATATTAAGAGATTTGTTTTAATTTTAAACTTTAAAGAATATGTTATATTTGCAGAGAGTTTTGAGAATTTAACAGATTCCAGTTTTTAAAAATTCTGAAATTATTACAAAACGTGGAACAATGTCGTTTCGATATTGTTCAAATGTTCTTGTGAATTATGATTACAGTCAATGAAAACTAACATTAATATTATTAAGGGACACTTGGTTAACCATAACATTGGTCACTAGGGACTGTAGAATCATTAGCTAGACCTAATAGACAACGAAACTAAAATCTAGACAAAGGGAGAAAATAAACAAGAGTAATCACGAATCATCGAATTTGAGATAAGAGACGAACCAGCTTAAGGTGGAGAACAATGGCTCTGTTCTGAGTAACGACGGCGATTGGCGACAAGTGATCTCGGAGCTCAGCTATGGTGGATTGAGAAATTGCAGAGACAAATCAAAACTAACAAAATCCAAATAAATCTCAAACCGGATTCCGGTTATTAAAAAATCCGAAAAGATCACAAAATGTGGAAACGGTGTCGTTTCGATATTTTTCAAATGTTCTTGTGAGTTGTGATTATAGTTGTCACACTGGCTTAGCTTAACTATACAATTGGTCAATAGGGAGTACGTAAATTTATTACGTATATGATTGCTTTTATTTTATTTTATTGATTTGCAATGTAATTGTTTATACTAGGTCAAATGTTATCATGTAACCAGGCATTATTAATCATAATAACTATAAAATTTTCATTGATTAGTTTATTCTTTGTTTAATTAATATCATAAAAGCACATAGCTCAATATATGCTTTAGATTCATTATAGTAAACATCAATAGGGACGTTCACCAGGGATATTTCCCGGAGGATCGTAGCTACATATGATCCATACGTTCGCATCATTCTGACATCTCACCGAACCGCAACCGAGCCGGACCGAATTGCGCCAAACGATCTGAGTATAGTCATGGCACACAAAATCACACTTATTGAGTTTATAATTGTAATTTGGTTTCTCCTCCATCCAATATCCAACCGCGACGGGTCCGCTCAGGTTGGAGTCCGGATATCTCCCGAGAATAATATTCTCACCATAAGGTCCCGAGGAATGCGTTAGAGCACAATCTCCGATACGTTTGTTAGCAAAGCTCTGTGCATAGGCTGCAAGAGTATCGTTCCACACCATTGGACCCACCCCATCTTCTGCTCGGGCTTTGTTATGAGCCGCAAGAGTTTGTTGCGGGTTGATATCGGCTCCTGGATGTCCCTTTGGAGGTTGAGCTAGGGTGACTCGAGCCACGACCGACAATAATGTGACGACGATGATGATATAGCCATAAATTGACTTGTTCTTCATTTTTGTTTTCTACGAGAGTTTTTTTAATTTTTTTGGCTAATGTGTTATTTATATATAAAAGTTGTATAGATTTAATTAGTAAAGATATTCATTAATTTGGAAACTGTTGACTATTAATTAGTAGAGAGATTATCATTAACTGTTTAACTCTTTGACCCTCAAAATGAAAAGAAAAAACATTAATTGTGTTACTCTGATTTATTAAGAAAATTTATTAACTTAGCAATCTATACTATTAATTGGGAATCACTCAAAATTAAATAACCTTATAAAAGGTAAAATATTACATATGATGCCATTGGGATTTTTAAATTTAAAAAAGGAGAAAAAAAATAGCAACCATATTAGTGATATTAATAACAATTATATTAATTCCAAGATTTTGCAAATATTGCAACCATAAATTTCGGATATATTAATAAACTCATATCCAATCATTAATTTATTATCATTAAAGAAACAACCATTTATAGAAATTAATTATCATCATAATATGGTTAAAAAAATCAAAAATCGTTTTTATATGAATCCAATAATAATTTATATATAAAATCCTATATTATTAGAATTCTTATAAAATAAACTATGAAAATCATACCATAAAACTACCTAATAAATATCACTAAAAGTTTTCAATCTTTCCAAATCTCGATTTTTCCAAATCTTACAAAAAATAAATAAAAAACTATATATATGACCTTAAAATATATAAAACCCAAAAATCTAATCTATTGCCTAAAAATCAGGATTTAGGGAAAAAAGTAAGTTATTAAGAGTTTGAGAAAATCTTGGAAGTTCAAACTTAATCGGCAAGATAATTAATTCAAACTTATTAAATTAGTTTGAATTAATTTAATTAATTTAGGAAAAATATATTATTGGATTTGTTATTTTCAAAAAATTTTAAGAGCATTGTTTAAAATTAAATAATGATTTGAAATTTAACGAAAGTCATACTCTATATTCTATTAATATGATTTTAATACTAAAATTGATTTCTTAATATATCTTTAAACCAATATATTGATGATATATATAAAAAAAAAGAGATATAAATATGTTGTCATTAATTTCAAAGATACAAAATATTTAAACAAGAGATTTGACTTAAAATTTGAAATAAGATAAATAATCAATTAAGATATTATATCATTTTCTAAAATTCAAAATAGGCAAACCTAATATTTTTAATTAAATTCATCTCTCCCTATAAATATATAAAATTAGACTCACAAAGATTCATTAGCCCACCATTCCAAATGTTTGGAATTCGTGACTAATTAAATTTTGTTCTCTGTTTATAAATTTGACTTTTGGATACATTTATTTAATTGTGTTATGATAATTACAAATAGAACATTGTACTCTCATTTCCACTATGTTTCTACAACTTATAAATTAACTACATAGGTTTGTCGAGCCATGGCTTAGCTTCTACTGAGTTGGGTCAAAAGACAGCCACACTCAGTTTATGAATATGATCCAACAATATCAGGGGAGAATATAAGCAAATAGATTTTTTATAAGCTCTTGATTTCATTTTTGTAATGAGTGAGTTATATAGAAAAGAAACCAAATATTTTAATTGAGTTAGTACACTACTTGATGCTAATGAACTTTGTTCTTTACAACCATGAAGTTTTTTTTTTTTTTTTTTTTTTGACAGCCCATGAAGCTTTACAACCATGAAGCTTTTTCAACTAGAGAAAACAAAACATTTTTTATAGACCGCGGGTGAATAAGGTTTTTATGTAGTGTTCGATAAGTATGAATTAGAAAAAAAATTTCGTGAGTTTGTCAAATTATGAATATTATACCAAATAAATAAGTGTTCAAATATAACCCGCACCAACGTTTTAAACAATTAGAGAATGTTTAACAAATTTTTTTTTATAGATTCTATTTATTTTGTAAAAATTAAATCTCGAAAGGAAAAGTAAGGAAAATACGGGTATTCTATCTAAATCTCTTACCTATTCTCTTCTCTGTTGAACTAAATTAAACATTCTCATATTGGTAATTATTTTAAAGGAAACAGTTATGTGACGAGAAATTTTAAGATAGGCAACGAGACGGGACGGGACGACACTACTTTCTCTCATTGTCTTATCTATATTGAATTAAATTTTATTAGAAAATATTTTTTAAAATATGAAATCCCGCACGTACGTGCGGGTCAGGATCTAGTATATATATATAGAGAGAGATAGATATCAAAAGAATTGGCAAAAAATTCCAAATGTACACGTATTTAATAAGTTACGGTCATTGACGTGATATTATTTGTGATAAGTGATCGGTTAACATTTGATTTTGAGTTTTGACCAACGATTTATAAAAACCGGACTGGGACAGGTCTTCGGAGTTTGAGAAAGAAGTTACCGTTGTGTTTGCTGATGCAGTTAATGTTGCTCTTCAAATCAATGCAGGTCTCTTTTTAAGTCTTGAGTTTGTTTCTGTCTATCTTTCTGCTTCTGGTTTAATGGAGACTGATGATCAATATATGTTTCTTTTCTTGTCTCAGCGCTATTTTTGGATCTTCTGATGGATAAGCTAGCTTCACTAGTCAACTCACAAGCCACAAGGATTTGTGTTTCCATACTTTGGTAAACGTATGTTTCTTTTCTGGTCTCAGAGCCCTTTTGGACCGGCTTCTGAGTGGATCCATCCGACTGATCGTCCCCTAAGGTATATTATATAAGACGATCGTTTCTTACTCGTCCTGCTTTAGAACAGAAGCTGGTTCCCATGAAAGAGACACACGTGGCATTTGCATTTTCCGTGTTCACCAGGTTTGCATCACTAGTTCTCTACGAGAATGCTTCGTGGGAAATGGTCGATGAGATGATGAAGAACTCGGATGATGAGATGGGAAACCTTATGAATTCCCAATAGTTTTCTAACCAGCTAAACCTTTCCATACCAAATCGTCTTGGTCGTCTCTGGAGCATTGAATGATGCAGCTGCAAAAAAGTATGACTTGGAAGCTTGGTTTCCTTCGTCGGGTACTTTACAAGGAGCTTGTGTCCTGTACAGACTATTAGGCTCGAAGGCTGGAGCATTAAATCTCTCTGTTCGTTTCACTTCATAAGCAGATATACATGATCTTGTGTGATTCCTTTTTTTGCTGTTTTGACGCAGAGCAATGAGAAGATGAATGTTTTTTCTGGACTTGATTTGCTTTTGCCGGGACATTTTTTTTTTCTTCTTGGGACGAATCTTTGTTCTTTAATTCTTTTTAACTTTTACTGGATGAAAAATGGAGGCTATACAAAAATCCAGGGTATTTGTTTTATTTGAAACAAAAGTTGACATTGACAACAAAACAACCTTCTGTTATAGGAAACTACGTATACTTGTTTTAATGAAATGAAAAGAACAAAATGTTTCCCGGTAAAAGCAAATCAAGTCCAGAACAAACATTTCTGATTTCTCTGCTCATTGCTCTGCATCAAAACCACGAAAAAAAGAAGGAATTACACAAGATCCAGTATATCGGCTTATGAAGTGAAAAGGTATTCTATACTGAAGAAATTTTTTCTCTGCTTAGGTATAGGAAGAATTAAGGCTTACGGTTAAGTGTCTCGTTGCTCTGTTTCTGTTGAGAGGAAAAACATGTTTCTGTCTAAGATGAAGAACGTGTTTCTCTTGTTGGTGCATTTAGCGTTAGCTATATTTGGTTCAGCATTAGCTAAGAACAATTGCCAAAGAAACTGTGGAAGTGTTTCAATCCCCTATCCGTTCGGGATCGGAGAGGCATGTTACCTCAGTAAATGGCACGAAGTTCAATGCCATAGGAATCCCGCTTCCGGTCAGCTTCTGCCATTCTTGCCGGGCATAAATAAAACAGTTTTGCAAATCAATCTTCCAAGGCAACGGGCATCAACTCCATATGGGTCGATTCGCATACAAATGGACATCACTTCCACAGGATGCGTCTCTCCAACCAATGTCTTTGTTAAATTTGATGGCAATGAGGTTGGAGATGTATTGAACTTGACGGGCACACCTTTTATCATTGGTCGCGCTAACGACGTTGTTGGTATTGGTTGCAACATCAAGGCTTCTTTGAGAAAAATTGAGCCAAGAATAGTTGGTTGTGTCTCCACTTGTGCACCAGAAGCTAGAATGGATAAAAAAGGCTGCAACGGTTACATATGCTGCAGAAAGAAAGCACCTGATGTGATCGGACAGGTGACTGGTCTCAGTATACAAGGTGATAGTATAAACACAACAATAGGAGGGTGCAAAGTGGCATTTTTGACGGATGAGTTTGATAGATATCCTTCCTCAAAAATCAGTGATCCTAGATGGTTTTATGCGATGAAACATACAACGGTGCAGCTACGGTGGTCAATTCAAACTGTGAATCGCTCATCTATCGGGTGCTCAGATCACCGTTGCAAGTGCCATAACCTAACGGAGTATGAGTATGAGATTGGGTATTCAACTTGTGCATGTTCCAGTGGTTACAATGGTAACCCGTATCTTTTAGGTGGATGCAAAGGTGAGAAACTGACTCGTTCGGTTTTATTGTATTACCATAAATGTTTGCTTAGTACAACAATTATTTGGTTTTTCATTTACAGATATCGACGAGTGTCGAATTCTCAACAATGATGGACGTCCCAGATACTGTAGAGGAGGTAGCATGTGTGTTAACACTCCGGGAGGGTATCACTGCGTGTTCCATAAGAACAAGGCGTTACCAATTATCATAGGTACATAAATTTGACTAAATCTATGTATTCATAATCTCTTGTCTAGAAATAGGTAAGAGTTTTAGTGAAGCTCTGTTTCAGCCGTAGTTTAAGAATAAAAGTTAGTGAAGCTCTGTTTCAGCCATAGTTTAAGAAGAAACGTTTTGGGAAAAATTTTGATTGAAAAGACAATTAAAAACTGACAATTTTCAATTATTTTTGGATTCTGTTTTTTGATGAACTTATCTGGTCAAAAGACAAAAATCAAGCCAGATTTGGATGAGAAATGTATAATACAATAGCTAGGTAGATCTTACTCTGCAAATTAACTAAAGGATCCTTTAGGGAGAAGAAGGTTTAACAACCTAATTCAACACACAGATTGACTTGAAGATCTATGGAAAATATAAGATACATATATATCCAACATATTTTGGGATAAAATGCAAAGCGACGGAACACACATATAAACATACATATATATGATGCAGGATGGTGAAAATGCATGAGAATTATTGTTATTATCATTATTTTTATATTAAAGAGTTTACCATCGAAATTGCATGAGAAATATAATAATGGTACATAATGATATGTTAAATATCAGTTTCTTATCTCTCTGTATGATAAAGTTTGTGTTCCTTTGTTGTTAATTGGTCGAAGAAGAATGGTTAAGATCTTTAAAAGTTGTTTCTTAATTATCTTCATTATGGCTTTGAATCAAAGAATACTATTGTCATTCACATTGTAAGAAGTTATTGTTCACACACTCTCCCATCTGTTTGTATTAATTATCAAAGTCTTGTTATCAGAGTGTCTTTATTCAGTTTTCTTTTGTGCATTTTCAGGTGTTGGCACGAGTTTTGGTGTGTTGATAAGTGTCGGTGTGGCCTTCTGGCTATACGTTATCATCAAGAGACAAAGGCAGATCAACCGAAAAAAGAGATTCTTCAAACGCAATGGTGGTCTACTCTTGCAACAACAGCTGAATTCAACGGCAGGCAGCATTGACAAGATAATAGTCTTCACTTCGAACGATCTCAATAGAGCTACAGAAAACTTCAGCGTTAACAGGGTGCTGGGAAAAGGTGGTCAAGGTACTGTCTACAAAGGTATGCTTGTGGATGGTAGGATAGTCGCTGTGAAGAAGTCCACATCCGTGGATGAACACAGGCTCGAGCATTTCATCAACGAGCTTGTGATCCTCGCGCAGATCAACCACAGAAACATCGTCAAAGTCTTAGGATGTTGCCTCGAGACAGAAGTGCCAACCTTGGTGTATGAATTTGTCCCCAACGGAGACCTGTCCAATCTTCTTCATCATGGGTCTGATAATTCCCCTTGGGAACTGCGTTTGGCCATCGCAGTAGACATTGCTGGAGCTTTGTCGTACCTGCACTCAGACGCCTCAATCAAGATCTATCACCGGGACATAAAAAGCTCTAACATCATGCTCGATGAGAACCGTAAAGCCAAACTTTCTGATTTTGGGATTTCAAGGTCCGTAAATGTAGCCAACACACACTTGATCACTGAAGTAGCAGGTACCGCCGGTTACATGGATCCAGAATATTTCCAAACGATGTTGTACACGGACAAGAGCGACGTTTATAGCTTTGGTGTTGTGTTGGTAGAGCTTATCACAGGTGGGAAGACGGTTACTCAACAAAACAGGTGCTTAGCGAGGGACTTTGCTCTTGCAGTTAAAGAGAGTAGATTGGTCGAGGTGATTGATGTCAAGCTGAAAGATAATCACAACATTGAACAAGTCACAGCGGTGGCAAGTCTAGCTAGGAGGTGCGTGAGTCCCAGAGGTCCCAAACGACCAACCATGAGAGAAGTATCTGTAGAGTTGGAGCGGATCCGTTCGTTGCAGCTTGGAGCACAACCAATGGTCGACAGTGATGAAGAAAATGAAGTTCTGCAGTTTGACATAAATTGGGATTCAAGTGCTTCAACATCCCAATTTCAAACCGCTGCAACGTCCGAATCGTTCTTGTTACCACCGGGTACTTGAATAAAGTGTTTTATGTAAGTTTCGAAGTCTCTGTAATGGTGTATTGTTAAAGACAAAAGTGGATTAGTGATGTGATGTATGCTCATGTGATGTGTGAATTTCTTTGATGATAGTTTGCTGTTTGGGATCGTATGGATTTTGAGAACATGTTTAAGCTGATTTGAAACTCAACGCGTCTCTTTTGGAGTTATAAAATGCATCGTCTGCACATTTTTTTTGCTTTGTTTAAGCTATTTCTTTAGGAACAAATACAAAACTTGGAACTTTTCATACGTTATTTTTGAATGATTTGTAATTGTAAAAAGTGTGTAAATTACCTAAGAGTATAGATAGCAAAAGAAATAATCAAAGAGAAGATGACAAACTTGGAAATTGTTTTGGTACAACAACTACAAGAACCATTTTACTTCGTTGGTTTGTATCATACAGCTCCTATCACAGTCTTTGACATGATTCATTGTAGCACGATCCCGTCTGCTCTCCCTGCCTCCTCGGTCCTAGCGTCTGTGATGCTTTACCTCAATCATTCCCTTTCTTTCTCCTTATCCCGAGATTCCTCACTGCAGACAAAGGCCACAGCATTATCAGCACCAAAACAAGGCAAACGAAATGAAAGTGAAAGTGAATATATCGTTACCACTCCTCCCATGGTCATTTGGGTTCTCCACCAACTCTTGAGGTCCCAAGTCACCACCAAGCCAGTTTGGGACAGCTCTACCTCTCTCAACATCAACCAACACTCTTATACAATCAGTCTTATGACCATCAATCTGTAAGACGACCAACAAAGTACACAGCGCACACTCAGTAAGAAAGAGCACATCATCTCAGGGAGAGGAAAAAAAGGATTGTAAAGGAAACAGATGAGATGGGACCTTTCATAAGATATCATTGTGATAATCAATTGGGTTTATTGCTCAGCTGATCAGTCACCAAATGAACCTGGGGAGTTTTAGAGGAAGACATTAACAAACCAAAATCTGTGAGAACAAGATGATATTTCAGATAAAAGTCTGCTTCATATCAAACAAACATGCAGCTCTATAAGGCAGGTATAGAAACTTCTTTAAAATTCATATTACTAAAAATCTATACGAAAGTGAACCAGATCACCTCAATAGTAGCTCAAGTCTTTGATTACCTTAAAAAAGCTTCTGAGCTAAGAAATGTTTCTGAGTCAATCTTGTTTCCCAAAGACCAAATCCCAACAGAGATTTTAGTGAAAGATATGTAGCAACAACATTCCCAATTTCTAACATAGACTTAGAATGATCCAATTCAAATTTCAATGATTTCCCCAAATATTAAGCAAAATGTACCCATATAAACGATTGTTACTAATCAATCAACCAAGATTCATAAACCCTAAATTGATGCAAACCGAAGCAAGTATGAACAAATTAAGATTCATAAAACCCTAAATTGATAAACCTTTGAATAGACCAGTGACTTTATCAACTAGAGAGTCTTCATCATCGTCTTCCTCATCATCGTCTTCATCGTCGTCATCAGAATCCGAATTCGAATCCGTAGAATCATCTTCGCTCAATTCGCTATCATCTCCACTGAAATCGAATTAATCCAGAATCGATCAAAAACTAGAATCAAATCGAGAAATAGATCAGCGCCAAAAATACGCAAATACCTCAAACTCCGATCTTCTTCATCATCATCATCATCATCATCATCATCATCATCTTCTTCATAATCGTCTTCGTCGCTACTCTCGCCATCGATATCATCATCTTCTTCTTCTTCGTCTTCCTCATCTGAACTGTAGATATCGATGATCTCCTTCTTATCCGTCATGTAGATTTCAAAAAAAGCAAACGGCTTTTGAATTTTGAGTTTTTTAATTTGAAGTAAACCATTAAAACATTGTCGGAGCCCCGAAACTATCCAACCGGATCCACTTGTCTGTCGTAACATGGATCTTACAAAAAAATAATATCAACAAATATATGCAAATCGGTTTTCCTATTATACTAGAGTTGAACCCGCGGTACACCGCGGGGCTATATTTTTTAAAAAAATTATTACTGTGAATTTTTTTATATAAGACCGATTGATCGTTTATGATTTTTAATAAGATGTAGCTCTTATAGTTAAAGTATAGTATTATTTGGCGTTATATGCCTACATATTTATAGAATAAGATTTTGACTTGACCCATTAAAATCACGGAATTTTAACCGGCAGTACGTCGTATGACAAACTTTTAGTTATTATATTTTAGATAATAATTTTCAGTTTATTTGTTTTTATAATTTCCAATTATTTATTTTTATCTAACTAATTTATCATTTTGTTTGGACCCGTGGTACCAAACACATGTTTTTCTTATGTTACTTATAGTTTATAACTTGTTTATTTTATTATATTAATTTTTTTATTGGATAAAATATAAAATTTTAGATTTATTTTGTTTTGTAGAATAATATAGAGATATATGGTAGGTTAGTGTATTTTTGTTTGTTTGATGTATATACAAATTAAATATTTTTGTTGTGAGATAATTTAGGATCTAAATCGTTGTGTTAATATCTTTTATTAAGTTTTAAAAATTTTAAGAATTAAAGCCAATGGCATTCCTTGTAAATACTTCCCAACTCCAGGATTTATTTACTAAATGTACTCCAAAAATGTATATATAGATATCTACCTAATTTAAACTAATATATTGAAAACAATTATTATTTTCTTTTCACCTTTATTTGATCTTATTTGTAATTAATTTTATTTTATTATATAATACATATGTATAATAAAAATTGAACTTTTTTACATATGTATAATACATATGCGTATGTTTATTAATGAATATATATATATATAATTTATATAGAAGTATGTTTATAAAATATTATAATATATATTTTCTATAAAACTCATTAAACTCATTATACATTTATATATTTTCTATAAAACACATTAAACCATTGACCTCCTATGATACCAATTCGACCCAGAGATAAAAATAAAAGGTTAATTTTATCTAACCCGATTCATTAAACTCGAATATTTAATTTTATTAATTCAGGAATCGTTTACTCCCCACATTCAAAAATGAAAAACATCTCTACCGTCAAAGAAAACATTTATCTACACAATCAAAGACCACATTCAATTGATGCATTTCTCTATTAGAATTTTGAACAAATTGTAATGAACTTCTTACATTGATCCACTTTAAAGAAATTTTGTGACGTGTTCTACAAAGCAATCACTATTAATTCAAAAAAAAAAACATAATTAAAATCAACATCTATAATATTATCAAATAACGATGAGAGGAGAAATTTTAATAAAATCTTCGGAATATCTTAAATTAGTTAAATGAAATAATTTTGTTGACAAAATTAAAAGAAAGAGATTTAATATCTCCTTAAACAAATGATTTTGGTTATTTTAATTCTAAAATTACTCTTTCTAATTGCGATTAAACATATTTTACACATAATTTCAATGACAATTGAAGTAAATAAATGTTTAATTTTGGACATTGTTCAGAATGTACTTCTATTTTAATTATAAGAAGATTCTACGAAACAAAATAATGACTATCACACTAAAAGAGTTTCGAACAAGTCGTGTATCTCAATCTATATGTGGCCGCGACTACTACGCAGATGAAAACAACATTACAATCCAAGCCAGGACGGACAATAATGTATCCAGGATAATGCTATAACCAAACAACGACCTCTTCTTCAGTTTTTCCTCAGTATATATATTTATATTTTTTTTGGCTTATATGTATATATACTGAAGATAATCATTGTCTTAAACTTTACCCTTCTGTGTTAATTATTTATTAATCAGTAAAAAAATTAGTCCATTTTCCATGGTAAAAAACATAATTCCATTTGTCTATGAACAAAAAAAAAACAAAAAATAGAATTACCATATCTAGAGTGTATAGTCATCAAAAGAAGTCAAGAGAAGATCCCACGGTGATCATTACTATAGGCAGCCACGAATGTAATTATCTACCATTTCACCATTTGTTGTAGATGGCTTTGGAGATGATAATTTAATGGAGAAACATTTGGAAAATAAGATTGGTGTAAAAAAAAAAACCAAAATCTAAAAGGAAGAATGTCAGAAACATCATCAATCGTCATAAGTTACCAAGTTTGGAAAAATATCTCGTTCTCTACAAACTAACAACACACACTTCTCTTTTTTTTTGCTACACTCTTTTTTAATCTTTTCTTCTCAGCTTTCATAACAAAAGTCAAAAGCCACATATTATAACTCCTAAGAAAAGCTCCTAGGAGAAAGAGATCTCAGACAAATTTCATACATATCATTCCAAGTTTCAAAACCCTTCTAATGAGCTTTGATCGTGCGGCTAGACACACCATGTAGCAATTTCACAAATCCGAGAAAGCTAAGTTTTCCATCGGTATGCCTAAGCCAATCGTGAAGCACTGCGTGAACCGGTACAGAAGGACCAAGACCAAGTTCCTGAAATAAGTTTTAACCAACAAGTTAATTTGAGCATTTTCAAAGACTTGATGAAAGAGGTTTTTTTGTATGGTTAGATAAAAAGAGACAGACCGAAGCGAGTTCATCGATCATAATGGGTCGGTTTCCTTCCTTTTCGAAAAGCTCATAAGCACAACGAGCGTGTTGTTCCCATCGATCAAGAGCTTCTAGCTGGTGAACACTCAATGCCGCTGCACAGAATTCCTCAAAGTCCATTCTTCTATATTGAAGAGCACTCAGCTACAAGGATGCTCCAATAAGATTTTAAATTACCAAATCAAATTGTGTGGTTTAAACATTGAACTGCACGAGTTAAGGCTCTTACTTGTGCTAAGAATTCTGGAATACGCGAATCCTTCATTGCATCTGTTGCCATTTTCATCAGAGCCTAACAAAGAGAGTTCGACCCAGTGTCAAGATAATAACCAAAGCATACCAGAAGATCAACTGAAACAGGACGGAAGATAGAAAACTTACTGATTTGATGTTTTCTAGACTTATGGTTCCGTTTTTACTAGGTTCTAGTAACGCAAACTGCTCCCTCAGATAAAACAATTCATCCACCGTAAGTGTTTTCGACAAGGCCTGCAAGAAAATGGCGAATGGTAAGCAAAAATAGAAGTGACCATTGAAGCAAAAATATTGGAAAAACTGATCCACCCACCCTTAATGCAGCTTTACGAAGAGATGATGATCGTAAATAAGCTCTCATAAGTTTGAAAACCAGAATATCCAATGGAAACTTTGCGTTATTAGAGTCTTTGATCCATGGATGACCTGAAAGAATCGAAACTATTACAATTTTCTCTTCACACTGGAACAATTTTGTATGCATTCTACACTTACTTAAGGCTTGAGCAGCTGTTAATCTTTTACGCGGGTCTTTGTTTAGCAACCGCTTTACAAAATCTCTAGCCTCTGAAGATAACAAAGGCCAAGGAGGGTCATCAAAACTCGGATCTGCTTTTAGAACAGCACGAAAGATTCCTGATTCTGTCCTAGCCCAAAACGGTCGGCTTCCACACAATAGAATATACACAATCACACCAACACTCCAAATATCAGCTTCTGTACTGTAAGATCTATGCAGAACTTCAGGTGCTACATAGTAAGCACTGCCAACAATGTCATTGAGCCTCTCATCTGCAAATGCAATGAGTATATAAACAAATGTAAGTCTCTAGATTCTGGAATCTAAGTATACATACAGCATATAATCTAAGGGCTTTACCTGGTCTCACGTAATCCGACAAACCAAAATCTATTGCCTTCAACTGAGAGGTGTCTTCTTTTGAGGTAAAAAGAAAATTCTGATCCAAACAGTTTAAGTAAACTTCATTAAGATCGCAATGAACATAAAATGTATAAGTAGAAATAAAGAGCTTTTGTTACCTCAGGTTTAAGATCTCTGTGCACAACACCTTGGAGATGACAAAAGGCAACCACATTCAATATTTGTATCATAACAGTCTTTGCATCCTCCTCTGTGTACTTCCCACCTCTGCACATTAAAAACCACCAAGTTCAATAAAAACAATCCCAAAGCTAGTAAGAACGAACAATCCTACTTCTAAAGTGGCGAAAATCTCTTTACCTTGAAAGTATTCTATCCAAAAGCTCTCCTCCTTCACATAGCCTAAAACAACAAAGATAGAAACAACACTTGTTAAGCCTAGCCAACAATGCTAATTCCCAAGCTGATAAGTTAGAGCAAAAGTGAGCTTACTCCATCACTATATAGACATTATCATGATCCTCATATGCATCATAGAAATGAGGAAGGTTGTTATGACCAGACAAAGCCCTCAATATCTTCACTTCCCTTCTCACATCTTCAATTGCAATAGCCGTCGTCATCTACACAACAACATCACCAAAACTCAAATTGAAAACCTTTGAAGGACAGTTCACAATCAAAATCACCAGATCTCGTCTCTAACAAACCATAGAAAACAATCAAAAGCACTAACCTTTGCTTTAGGAATAACTTTAACAGCGACTTGTTGTCCTTTATTATCACCTTTCTTAAACTTAGCAGCACAAGTATATCCAAAATGACCACGACCAACTTCATCACCAAGCTCATACTTACTCGCAAAACTCTTGGAAAAACCAAAACTTTTATCCAATCCAACACCACCTCCTTCAGCTTCACTACCTTCAGGGATCGCCGCAGAATTAGGCTTCACAGAGCCATGCCTTCTCGCTAAAACAGCTCTGATATGTTTAGCCGGAGACGGTGGAGGAAACGGCCGTTTAAAGAATCGCTTCGGAGTCGAATTAGTTGAATTAGTCGCCGGAGATCTCGCCGGAGTCTTCTTGGAGAAGAAATAGTGAGCTGGACTCGGACTATAAAAAGGGAAAAACGGAGACTTTTTCCCTTCATTGTTCGTTAATACACACTGATCTTCATTAGAGCTTGAAGGCTTGACGGATTCAGACGCCGGAAGTGGACTATTCCTCGCCGGAATTTGATCGGAATTAGGTGAATTCGGTTTCGAAGTACAGAGACCCATTACGAATCTCTCAACATCACACGAAATCAAAATCTCATTATCGAAATCAAAAACCCACAAGTAAAAATTCAAACTTTTGAATCTTGCAAACGAAAAAACAAAATAAAAACTGAATTTTTATAATTTTTGCTTATTCTTTGTTTTGGAAGTGTCTCCTTTGTCAATGGCGAATTCCAAAGCGAAAGATTTGGATCCAAAGAGAATGAGTTAAAAAGAGAAACGACGATACGTTCGCTTTTTAATTACACATTGAACAACTACTAATTACACAATTAACTAGTGTTTTTTTAAAACTAATTACTTTTTATTTTCTTGGTGAAATAATAAATACGTGTGTATAAAAAGACAAAGACCAAACTAGAAAATAGGAGAATTCGGTGAAATTTTGCTAAATCTATACTATAGAGTGTGAATTATTTATGTACTTTTGTAATGAACATAAGAATTTTGGTATTATCACAATCATGAATATAAATGCTAACTAACTTCATTAATTATATAGTTTATTTGGATAAGTTATTTTTGGGAGGAGAAATTAATTGGGAAATTTAATAGACATTGACAGGGTATTGTATTATTGTATATATACAGATGCATTTAAAATCCTGCCAACTCTTGAATGTGCATTAGATTTTTCAATTCAGATAACCTTTTTTTTGGTAAGGCCGCTAATATTAAGTTAACCAATCATAATTTCATGTTATGGATTTAATTGGAATCTAGCGTTTTGGTTTTTTCCACTTGTTAAACTATTTACTTTTCTTGGTATCTTTTTTTAGTGAGTTTTATACGAGCCAAGTAGTTTTATTCAATTTTAAATGGGACAATGAACAAATGTTAGTGTTTGTTCTAGGACATGAAACATTACAACAAAATAGAAGTTGGTATTTTTAACTAAAAAGCAGGGTGATAACAAAAATATACTCCCTCCGTTTCATAATATAAGACGTTTTAGAAAAAGTTTTTTGTTTTACAATATAAGTCGTTTTTGGGTTTCGATGCAAATTATATATTATTTTAATATATTATGATTATTTATATTATGCAGTGTCTTTTATGATTGGTTGAACTTTTTAAAAGTAGATCTTCTTAATCGGCGTGCTTTTACCTAAAACGACTTATATTATGAAACTGAGGGAGTAGTTCGAATGGTTATGGCGGTTGAGGCAGATAAATCCGTTTGTGGATTGGATCGTTTTCATTTACCATTCGTAAATTATATTCCGTAGTAATGTGGATAAAAAAAAAAATTGTACCGCAGACCATTACATACCGTTTTATATAGAAATAAACTTGGTCTACGAATTCTATTTAGTTAATACCGTTTTTTTATCTACTAATTACTACTAATCTATAACCCATCAAAATACACTAGCGAATATAAACCAAATTGTAAAAAATGACACTAATTTAAAGTTCAAACCAATAAATTATAGGGACCCTAAATTATATATTCAAGTTATTTTGCTGATATCATTTAAAAAGAAAACTTAAATTGTATGGACACACTCAGGTCCGATGGTATTAATAATGCCTTATAACATTATGGTCCATATAATAATATACATGATTACCCCACTATTAACAAACGATAACAACAAATTTATTAATTGGAATTTCTAAAATTGTAACTTTGTTATTTTAACTTTGTATATACACAGAACAAAAGCAAAATAACTTGGAACATATTACAAAAATTCTAACTATTTTGTTATCCAAATACTATTTGTTTTTTTTTTTCAAGAGAGAAGTAGTGTAGAGAAAATGTGATGTAATAATAATCGGAGATCGACGTAAGGAGGAACAGAGAGAGATGTGGTGGGTAAAAGTGGGACCCAGTAAAGAGTCTGGTGGTCCAGCTAGATAAATACTAATTAATACTTACTAATAAATTAATGATAGAAAAATAAATAGTGAAATAGTATAGAAGTAGGTTTGTTCCTTCCTTAATTAACGCTATTGCCATTTGGATTTGCGGTGGGGACTCTCTTTCGATGCTTCCTCGATAATGAAAGCTGTGTCTTCACTATTTTCACTTCAAGGGTAAAAACGTCATTACACTATCTATTATTTGTTTATTTTCTAGGTCCATCGACACGTCAGTAATTCAATTCGTTATGGTCATTGGTCAAACGACGTTAACTTCTCTCACGTGAGATTAACACAACAAATATAACTGCTACTTGCAAAATTTTTGACAATTTTAAACAAATCTTAGCTAAGTTATAGGCGCAAAAGTTTGATTCAAATGTTTGAGGTTTTGTGTAATTTAATAAAGTAATACAACGTGAGACTGAATGAAACTAATGATTATGTTGTATTTTTATAATTCGTACTAGATCATCACCCGTACTACAGTACGGGTTAAATTTTATTTATTACAAAATTTATATATTATATATTTTAGAATAAAGTTGTGATATATTATAATAGTAATTGAAAAAATATAATTAGATTTTTGTCAGTCCCTATATATAATATTAGAATGAATATCTTTTTTTTTTTAATTATACTCAATTATGGATTTTTTTTAAAGATATGAAAACAGAAAATAAAATTATTTTAATAAATTAATATAGTCTGAAAAATGAGTAAATTTATATTAACAACCACAAAATGAGATTGCATATAATTCAGTTAGATCAAAAATCAAAATATTATAAATGAATCGCTTCTAAAACGTAGATTATTTTTAATTAATTAAGATAGTTAGCTATTATTTTGAATTAATTTAGGAAATTCTTTTTTCAATTTCTAATTCTTTGGTTGTTGAAATAGAGATTTGTTTGAGGTAACTACGGAATTTATCAATTATTCGCGTAATCGAATATGTTATGAACATATATTTAGTATATAATATACCAAATTCAACCCGTGCGTGGAGTCTATATTTTTATTTTAGAATCCTAATGAAAATATTGCGTGCACAATCTATTATTCGTTATTTCCAAAATTGCTTGCACAATCAAATTTTCAAATATTTTGAGGTGTCAACCTTATTTAATCTATCTGATCATATAATCTTAACATGTCTTATATTATAAGGATCATAATTTTATATCATATAATATATTACATGTAACCATGCGCCTACTATAACTATTTTAAATATATTTTTTTAGAAAATTATAGTATTTATAATTTTTTTTTATCTTTTTAATCTATTAAATATTTATGAATTATGATATTCATTAAAATATTAAATTAAACTATTTTTAAATGTTCCAATTAAAATCTTTAAAAATATTTCTTTTAGTATATAAAATTATGAATTTCAAAAAAGAATTATATGAAATTAAATAGAAATATTCAAACAATTATAAGGATCATAACTCATTTGTTAATATAATATATTATATTTAACCCACTGCCTATTATAAATATTTGTTTACAAAAATCAAATTAGAATATTTATTGATGATATTCTTTAAATATTGATGATATTCTTGAAAAATATCAAGTAAAACTAATTTTATATGTTGCAAATTAAAATGTTTAAAAATATTATTATAGTATATAAAATAATACATTTCAAAAAATAAATGTATGAAATTGAATATAAATATTCAAATTCTGACCCGTTACTCTGTCTAAATTTTTGTTGAACTTATTTTTGGTTAAAAGAAATATATTACTCAAATGTGAATTTTTGACCCGTTAAATTTTTTTCTTCATAGATTTTACAATTTAATTTCGTTTTTAAAAATTCAAATCTTGGCATATGGAGAAAAAAATTACTTTTTTTTGTTTATATGGATGATATGATGATTTATTTGTTTCATAAAAATAGAATCATATAAAGATGAGAGGTGAACTATAATGATTAATAACAAATTAATATGGTAAGTTAGATATCAAATCTTATATGTTCATTTTGATTGGTCATTCTTTTTTTAAATTAATAAAATATTTTCGTTTTTAATAATTAAATTAATTAAATTGTATAAATTAGTATTTGACTTGTTTATCCTTAATGAGCTGAATTAATTTACTCTTTAAATTTTTATCTCTAATGGCATTCTTAAGTAATTTTTTACAAATGAGAAGGTTAGTTAAGGGTATCTTATAAAGTGTACTCCCCAAATAATAGTATAGGATGATGATGAATATGAAACTTGTTTAATTTGTTGCTTGTTGCGTACCCGACATATTGAGAAGCCAATTCAAATTTTGCAGCTAGCTATCATTTTTTTACCCACTTATATTCGTATTATTAAAACTTCAAATGCATGCACACGTAAGTGGTAAACATATTCATTATGTATCCCTCTCTATAAGATTTTATGTGTTGATGAATTTTGTATTTCACTATTTTTTTTTGTAATCAGTTTGAATTAATATATATATATATATATATATATATATATATATATATATATTTTGTATTTCTCATCCTACCGAAACCCTTCATGATATGCATATAGTTTTAAGAAAAATATATTTATAATTGGTAAGTTAATCGGTGTACTAGTTAGTCACCTAAAAATAGAGAATTTTCAAGGATCTTGAATTCGAACACTCGGTGATAAGATAAATCTTCTTGGTTACAAAAGAAAAAATACATCCAAATTAAGATTTTATTGTTAGTTTCAGTTTTTTGATAGCTGTTATTTACTACTCCGTATATCTTTTATATATATATATGATAAAATGCAGAAAAATAATGTTTGAATCCATCATATTTTGGAAGTGTTTGGCAAGAACTAATTATGAAGATTAATATAGTATTTTGGTACGTAAACTTGTATATAGAAGTTGTGCATGGTTGATAAAATTTAGGATCAGTTTGTGATAGCAATTAAAAACAATCCTAAGCCAAGTTATGTGTAGGTAATACGCGAGTAAATCATAGTCAAGGTGACTAATTAGTGGCACGAAGCCACGAACTTAACACCCCATGAACCTATCGTTTGTCTCTTTTAGTAATAAATAAATCAGTTATAGGATAGAAATATATAAAGAAAATAAAAAATAGTAACAAGATCCAAGAATTTTGAATAGACTTTTACCCTTTATTTAATTTTGTGCCTCCTCATTAAAAGAAGGGCAGAATAAATTTAATCGACATTCCCACTCAAGAACCCAAAGTCA